TGTAATTTTTTATATTAAAAATCATTATAATCACTATTGAAAAAATTATTTAAAAAGTTAAAAATTTTTAAATATATAACAATCTATATTTAGATGATAATGTAAAAAAAATTATTCTACTATTGCACTTTAATTTTTTTTAATTTAAAACTGTTTATTAATAATATTTTTAAAAATTTATTAATTTAAATTTTAATTAGAGATAATCATGCTCAAATCAGAAACATCTGTTTCTTCAACATAATGAAATAATGACGGATAATTAATTTAAGATAACCTTATTTTTATTTTTTATTTTTAACATATATATATATCATGTTCATTGGATTAAACCACACTGTTACATGTGAATTAACAACTTGATTTTATACAACTAGGCATGTGGATGCTTACCTCATAATTTCACCAATGCCTTATTCTTTGGACTCATTTTGTCTGAAAATCCGCCAAGTGGGACTTTGGGGGTTATAATTTTCATGTTGTTGACCAATCAGCATGGCATAAAAAAGTTTGATTGCCATAGAGAAATCGATGGCCCAAATTTATATTTGTAGATATAATAATAGACAAAGGATAAAACCTAATAAATGCCCTACTTGTAATGATTAAAAGAAAGTTTATTTTGATATACTATAATTTTTATAATGTTAATCAATCAAAATCTACATAATTTTCAATAATATAACTATCTATAAGTAAATAACAATATAAAAAAACTATACTATCAATCTAATTTAGTTTAAGTGAAAAATATAATGTTCTATAGTTTTACTTGAACTGACAAATACCCAACCTATGGTTTGTTTTGCCTGAAATGTTTGGTACCGATAAGTGGTATGCTTGAATAATTTGGGGAATGCTGTTCCTTTGGAGCATTACATATCAACATATTTTAAATTTGGTGTTCCTTTCATATTTGCATGAGTGTATGGGGTTTGCTTAAATTTTAAGGGGTCATATAAAAAGATAAGGCCTAGCTAGCTAGATGGCTACGAGAATAGAGAACAAGGAAAGCCACAGCCTACGACTATGGAAATCCTTATTACTACGTTTTGTTTCCCACTGTTTTATAATGTCTTAACTTTCCATCACTAGCTACCCAATTAGCCTAATAGTATGTCCCCAAAAGAAAAGGTAAAAGAGAGACAACAAAATCATAAAATCGTATCGTTAGTAGTACACATGATCGAGGAATGCAAGCATTGATGCCGGCTTTTTTTAGCCTCTAAAGTTCCCTATGTCTTTATTTCTATATATGTAACATATGCTCTCTATTTTATCATTCATGTTGAGAGTAGACAAGTGGAAAATTCATACTGCGTAATTGGAACCATCAATGGAAATTGGAAAACCCACAAGATTTACCAAAACATATCGTTTTATATTTAAACCAATCGAATTTTGGTTTTATAACTCTCAAATTAACTGGCAGTTTTTGGAAAAGAGAGTGAGAGGGTGTGTAATAGATAGAGGAAGCAAAGTCTCATTAATCACTGTTGTTTTAAACAAAAAATTAAGAATTTTAATGTGTTTGGTTAAGATATTTTGAAAACAATCAGAATCTTGGAAAAAAAATTCTTATTTTGAGAAGTTATTTTGAAAAAAAAATTGAAATTATAATTTCCTTTTAAAATAAAGGTATTTTTCTAATTAAAACAAATAAAGTGCAATTTCTATTTTTTTAATCAAATTTCAAAAACATAAATTATTTTCTGATATCTCTTTAAAATTGTTGTTTTTAAAATAACACTCAAAATCACTCTTTGGCTTGATTATATAAGAAACAAGTAGAATTTAATCCAATACCATAGACCTTAATTAAATTTTATCACCTTCTTTAATATGGACAAAACCTAAAGTTATTTACCTTCTGAACAATTTCTCTTGAAAACAAAATATATAGGAACTATATAAGCATAAAGATCCATTCTACCTAGTAATGAAGCACCACACATTAAGCCACATAACAAGCATTTGCAAACTTTTTATCTAATTCATAAGGCCCCTCATCCTCCTGTCTCCATAGTGCAAATCCGATCGAAACAGGGGGGGAGGGGGGGCACACAAACAACCCTAGCTAGATGACCCAATGAACAAGTATATAAATAGAAAGTTAAATAGCTATTAACTACCATTTTTTTACCATTCCACCATTTGTGAACTCTCTTAATAGTTAAAACGCACAAGTCTATATTGTTTAGTAACTTACCATAGTCCACTCAAGCATTGTTATATATTTTAATTCCACCAAAGATTAAAATTGACTCATGATGATCCCAGATGACCCACAAATCAAACGATTTCAAATGTTTATTCCAATATGGACATCCACTCTACCCTTATTCATCATAACAAAAGAAAGCTGGTACCTATGAACCCATTGCTTTAAAGGTTACATGGCTAGAAGAGGAAATATAGAATATTATAATAAAGAAAAAAAAATTTCACTCTGATCCTCCAAATTACAAATAGCGCATCACATTAGTTTATCAAAAATTTAGGTTATCAAGTTAATTCTTCAAAATTTTTTTAAAAAAATTAGATTTTATCACTAAACTAGTCCCTTAAAAAAATTTTCACTACTTTAATCTTTTATATATAAAGATTGATTTAATTTGGTGATATTTTAAATTTTAAAGTATCAATGTAGTGACAATTAAACTTTTAGAAAACTAATTTAATGTAGTCATTATGTAAATCTTTGAGAGATTAATAGAGTAACACATAACTTTAGAGACTCAAGTTAAAGATTTTCTTAATATATTATATATAGCAGCTATAGATTAAAGAGAAACTGTATAAGCATTAAATAATTATAAGGGTAGTTAGGTAGTTGAATATAAATGTGGAAAAGGAGAAGAAGAAAATGGTCCGGCATAGATTCACGCAAGCCGCCGAATATCACGGCGGTTTGGACTTGAAAGGAGCTCAAAAAGTGGAGGGGGCCAATGGATAGACTAGAAATTGGAGCTCTGGATTCCCAAACTTTTCTATTTCAACATGAAATTTAAGAGGGAGAACCATAGTGAGTTAGAACTTGAAACCATGCTATTGTGAATTATATATATGGTGTCTAAAATGTCATCATTTAGTTTCACTGTTTGAGACTTAGACCATATATGGAATTCATGTTCTAAGACCAATTTAGATGAATCAAGACATGAAGCTATATTTGACCTTACCAGTATAAATAACCTTAAAAAGTTCGATTGTGAGATAATTAATTTAAGGTTTAATAAAACCTTTGGCTTTCTTTTTTAAATTTGGTTCCTAATTACACAAAAATTAAACTTTTAAATCGGTTCATATGTAAAATTACCTTCAATTCAGTCTCCATCATTGTAGACCTAAGAATAATATGTGGGATACAGTTGTCTTGGGTGTGTAATAGAAATTGAGGGTTAGATAATAATTTTAGTCCTTAAATATGATATTTGTGTATAACTTGAGATATTTACACATGATGTTTGTTTTAAATACAGTCTCTAGAAAGTTTTCAAATTTGTCTTAATTATGGCGAAAAGGTTGATCTATTGCTACAGATACAGGATGAAACAAGCAAGGATAGATATGGAGAGACATGTAGTTGTAATGCATATTTAATACCATGGTCTTTTATGGTATGTCAAGCTTATATATATGATGGTTTACAAATTGTGGTTACAAAGGATCAAGGTTTTGAAACTTTTGATTTAAAACAAGGTTTCTAAAGTTTTGAGGTGGATATCCATTACAAGTCAAGATATTGGTGAGGGATTTTTTTGGATAATGCTACTAGGTTTGTAGTGGGGGAGACAAGACAACTATGCTATAGGGAATATTATTTAAGTTTATTTTGCATAATGTGACACTATAGGGACTACCAAGATTAGTGAGGATAGGCACCCAAAATTTGGTGATGGGGTGTGGATAGGAGTAAAATCTTGTATTTTGGGGAATATTAAAGATTAGAGATAGTTTAAGATTCGTACCAGTTCAATGTAAGCACTACTACAATTGGAAACTCAAAAGTTGGAGAGAATGACAAATTCACATTAAATAATTTTATTATAAGAGATTTGGGAAAATGAGTAGATTGAAATCCTCTCCTTTCATTTTTGTTTTTCTTCCAATAAAATATTTGATATTTGAAAATTTTAATTTTAATTTAAAATAATATAAAAATCTAAAATTATAATTGCCAAAAAATATATATACTTCTCATCTACAAAATCAAGATAAAAGTTATATGAAAAATAAATAAATAAATAAATATATATATATATATATAATATATATATATATATATATATATATATATATATTCCCTTCATGCCATTTTACATTTATCAACTACTTTAATAACTGATTTTACAAAATATTTATAATTTAATAAGCTAAGTTTTCTGCTAGTAACTTATTAGTTGACTTGTAAGCTTTAAATCAATTAATCAGCTAAATTTGTCAACATAACCAAAAGCCTCTTAAGAATGGAAGATGGGCCAACAAACACCTTAATATGTACTAAACCAAAATTTCTTTGATGGGCCAAGTCCAGTGGCATCAAAAGTTAATGAAAAAACAAATTTGGTACATAATTAATCTTGAAATTTTATTAGAACGAATATAGTGTAAGCTTTTGAACGACATTACGTCGATACCGTTTCAATAAAGAATTGACATGCAAAACAAAGCGATTACAACCAACGTGCATGCATTCATCAAAATTCTTTGTCGCTACAACACCTCAATGTTGGTTTTATAGTTCGTGAGTATTCGTAATAGAAAATATAGAGAAAAACAAGTGATGGATGCTCTCGTAGGTAATTTTGGTCCAATTTTTCTTTATGTATTTATTTTCCTTAAAAGGAAAATCGCTTCTAAATTCTAATTAACTTCTAAAAACCCCTTTTTTCCATTAAGAAAACGTACTTTAATTTTTAAGAGTTTATTTTTTTTCCCTCTAAATTGTTTGGTTCGGAGAAGTCCAAATAAGCTATGCCTTGTACCACCATACAATGATGCAATCTATCTATCTGTATATATATATTATAAACTTTTAACAAAGCAATCTTTATGGCAGCCTGGTGCGTACAAAAGGCTAATGGAAGGTGTATATACCAATGGTTATATGTACACAAGTAGCTTATAAATGGATTTCTCCATATATATTCTTCACACTTTACATAATTAATTGAATACAACGGCCAAATTTTTTTTATAGTTTTATGAAACATTAGCACATTGCTCACTAAGATAGTAGTCTCCTAAGAAGAAAACATCACTACATACTGCAATCCATGGATAGTTGTACAGTATATTAGCATTCTGAAAGCCAAAACCATCAATAATTGGCAATGGAAGTCCTCTCTTTAATTGGAAGTTCAGGTATGGAAAGATCACAGTTTTGAGGACACTTGACGTTAGTGACTGCAAATATTGACAAAGTTGAAGAGAGAGAGGTTAATCTGTAGTTGGTAGGATAGACAATGATTAAGGTTTAGCAATCAAATATTTGAAAATAGAAATTGGAGATATTTCTGCGGAGGTATGAGATGATGTTACATATGCACTATTCTACATGCAGATTATGACTCCAAAACGTGAAACATGAACAAAATAATATGTTAAAGGGTTCTCTCAACAGAAAAGGATAAAGGGAGTGCTTGGATGAACTATTTAATTTTGCACTTATTCAATAAATTCTTATTACATGTCCTTATACCATAAATGTGTCCACGAAAATTATTAAAATAAATAAAAAAGGTGTTTATTTTTATATGCTACATTAAAAAGCTTATTGAATCAGCTAAAAAGAGCTTATAAGAGTCACTATTTTCATGAGCTCAAAAGAAGCTCATCAAAGCTCTTTCAAATATACCCAAAATGCAAGTCTATTGCCCCCTTCTTTTTCCCTTAATAAAATGATTGTGCACAGTAAAATAAATTTTGATGATTTGAAATGGTACAATGTAAATACACCAAAACATAAACCTGGAACCTTTGCATGTGTACTTGACAAAATCAAGGCTAGTAACCAAGTGCACACGGGTTAACAGGTGAATCATCTCCTCAATTCATGTGAACACTAATGTATAATTAAAAAATTAAAACAAAAATATTGATGGATTGAATTGCTATCCTAGAATACTCCCAAACTAGGTGGAAATCATTTCGTTAATTGGTCCTATGGTTCAATTTTATCCAATTTTGAACAAAAAAACGCATACATACCTGCAAGCTGAAAATATGAATATTTTTACTCTGATTTACCTGAATCAAATGCATGTGCAGTTTCCCAATTTTGCTCCATTTCAAGTATGTCGAAAATTTTTGTAATATAAGTCTACCAGCAATATTGTTTCCTTTGATTTGAGCAGCACATGAAGCACTAATTTCCTGTTGCATAAGCAAGAATAATAGAACATGTTAGATAGGACAATGATCATGGTCACACTCTCAAATGATTAATGGGATCATAGACATGTGAGACAAGAAAAACTTTTGGCCACTGAAACTTAAATCAAAAGATCAAATCAAAACGTGGCTATGCTGTGTATGTTACAATATGAAGACAAAAGAGTGAAAAGTTTGAATATGAAAAGCTGAATCTGAATGTTGAAAGCATAACATTATGATGTTTAGCAAATCAAAAGTTGTTTAGCCTTAGAAATTTTTAATCATCCACTTAAGCACATTAGCTTTCTTTTCTGGAATTTATTTAGCATACCACTGAGATGCACACAACAGGTATGACTTCACCATCTTCCAGAACATCAATTGTTATATCTACAAAAATAGTTGCCCCAATATCCTGGTAGGTTACTTGTATAACTGGTGGAGAAGATACAGAGATATTAAGCTGCATGTCATCATTAGGATATCGCTTGTATAATTGAGGAACTATGAATCTCCATTCAGCTGTGTTCAAAATGGCTTGATCGGGTAGTTCATCAACAATCAATTGCATTTTACCAGCCTGAGTGCAAGAACAATATAAACTGTTAAATTATATTTCAATCTACAATAATATAGAAGCTTCCAACATAAAAGCTTTAAGTGTGAACAGTTAATTGAGGCCATTCAATTGTCAATAAAATGAATCAAAAAATTATTAGAGTCATTTCCAAGCTATTATGATGCATCTTAGCAATCTAAGGTTTATTTTGAGCTCAAAAAATTAATCTTGTGTCCCGAATTCATTTAGAGTCCAACAACTTCAGAGGCCCCAACTCAAGATTTCATAACCAACCTTCAGTAAAGAAATAAATCAATTTATCAATGGCAATTCTATTTTGGATCCTATGGAACATGTTATAAGAAACTACTATACATCACAGATAGAGCTTAAAATAGAGAGAGAAAAGACTGTGATTGGACTAAAGCGTGTAAAGAAAGAAGTAAAAATTTAAGAAACTTACGTTGAAGTAAACTAGGGAAGCAGATTTGAACACATTTTCATGTATTGAAACCTTTATCATCTTTGGTAAACCACCACAGGCAGAAGAAATCTTTAATCCTTTCTGGTAACGTTGAGGTACTAAAGCTTCATTTCTCCCTGTGAATAAACCATTAATTGCAATTGCAATAGAGGAATTACTCAACACAGGATTGCCAACAAAAGAAACATTTAGTGCAGCAGTTTGGTCAAGTGAGATTTGCTTTGGAAGAGATTGTAATAAATTGTCAAGATTTTCTATCCCTTCCCTTATTTTCTCTGAAATGGCCTCTTCAATTGCAGATGCCATATTCCCTTCAAAAACATCTACTAGCCTGAAACAAACAGAAGGAAATTAATGGCATGATATTTTCTTTAAATTTACATAGGAATATAATGTTAGACAAGTTCATAATATCAATTTAAAGATGTTTGAAAGGTTAGTACCACTTTAATCATATTACTCACCCAAGGGTCCTTTCCTCAAAAATAAAAATGTCACAGAGAAAAATTAACTGTATGATTTTTCTTAACTTCAGTCAATCAGAAAACACCTTATCTTTATGAAATCAAGAACAGACCTATCTCCATTAGCTACTTCATTAAGAAAAGAGGCAGCTAAGTGGAATAGATGAAGCTGTTCTTTAATCCATGTTTACCACTTATTAGACACTGCAGAACATAAAACTTTGCTTTAAACCGGACTCTAAAGGCATAATAAAGGTGAAGGTGATCATATGTTCATGAATATGAGGGAGAAAAATGCTAAAGTAAAAACGCAACCCAACTAAGTTTTGCCAAGAGATGCATCTTCAGTAGTAAGCAAAGGAAATATTAGGAGTGCTCCTACAATTCCCTCTTTTCAGAATTTTCTTTGGTTTAGCTAGAATTATGTTCACATGAATCTAGAAAATGTAGCTACGTATTCCCAGGAAAGAATTTTGTTGCAGAAGTTAATGGAAGCCACTCTTCCCTGCTCCTCCTGTTTCATGTCACACTTGACTAAAGAACAACGCAGCAGAAAATAGAATTGAAATATAGCTTTGCTATTGTAGTTGTTTACCAAATACATCTCCACGGGAATGTAAAAACGCCAATAAATTTTCAGAAACATGGCTTAAGAAGTTTGCTTACAGTTGGTAAAGCCAAGATGCCCCACCGTCCAACTTTATGGATAAATCTCCAACATAACATCCGTAATCTAAGAGAGTCAACTTAAGAGTTCCTTCTTGGTTCCTTAAATTTACTGTAAGCCCCACTTGCATACCTTTAACCTTGCAAACATGGCACAACACAACTTAGTGAGGGATATTATTGATTTAACAGCTTGTCTGTGTGTGTGCCTTTACACTAAAATTCTGTTGTTCTCACAGGTTTTAGCCTATTAGATACTGAAACTGAATTATGTTTGTTTAGTTGTTCACCTATTTGCAACACCATTTTTATTTATGTTTTTATGGCTTGAAATAACTTAATTAAGCTCTTATTCAATAAAACTTTATTCCATAAGCTTATTTTGACAAAGTTTCAAGACGAAGCTTATAAAAATAAGCTAAAAAAACTTATAAGATGGTCAAAAGTTACTTTACTAGCTTAATCTAGAGAACTCCAAAGCTCTTTTAACTGCCCCCTGAATCTCCGGATTTAATTATAAATAGACTTATGACCTAGTGTTCTATATTTATTAGAGAAAGCCCCATCACATTTATTTGTTCGTGATATCCTGTTTAGCAACAACCTTTCCAAAGATCAACAAACAATTATAGATATTATTCATCCTTCCTTTTGCAATGTTATAATAAACTCAACTTACATGTATGAATTCTGAAATTTCTTTTTGGTAAATAATTTTGAAGTTATAATTCCGCAAATTACAACCTTTCCAAAATTATAATTTCAGAAATATTTACCAAAAAAGAAATTTCTGAATTCTCTATCTCAGAAATTTCAGAATTATAACACAACCATGCTACAAATAAAACAAAATTCTTCAACTGCAGCTACAGAAAAATGACCACAGGATAGTTATAAATCATAAACATGAGTGAAATTCTAATTTTATACCTTCACTGAAGCAGTTCCACTATCAGAAATTCCAATTGGGATTAACCAAGTGCTGCAAGAATACCTCCACCGCATACTCAAATTGGCAGTGGCACCTGAAACAACTAGAAAAATACCATTCTCTCCAGTCTTAACAGACGAAGAATTGACTTGAATATCCTTGATTGTGATGTCAGAAAGAACCACTTTAGCTTTTCCAACAAGAGGGACTTGGGCAGAATTCTCAATCTCAGGAAGCTGAAGCTGAAGAATGGAAGCAATACCTTGCTCTATCAGCAAGTCCTTGGCATAATCGAGACCCTTGTCAGATATGACCCCGTAGATGAAACCTTCTTCAAGGGGTTTAACATAACCGCTTGTTTGAATCAACAGAGTGAACAACACAAAGAAAACAATAGAGGGTGCCATGAATTTTTGGACAGAACCTTACGAAAGAAATAAAGTTATCACTAGCAGCAACTTAGCATAAACAAGAAAAGACTAATCCATTGAATCTTGACAGTTGACACAGAAAGCTTGCTTAAAAATTGGCAAGAGCATGGTTTTGTAATGTTTATGCACTGAAAGATGAAAAATTTGAGACACCCATATGATGAAACAGCATGGTTAAGAAGAAAAAAGGCTTTTTTATTAAGGTTGTTGTATTGAAACTGTTATTGGAGCTTAGTATCTGAAATCAACGACCAGCAACTATGAAAGGAAACGTATGTAGCAGTAGCAGTAGCAGTAGCAGAAGTTGCTTGACACACGTGATGATGAGTTCGAGTTACCACGTTGTTGACCAATTATTGCTATGTAAGCTCGAGAACCTCGCAAGTTGTAGTCTTGCGTTTCAGTATATTCTGACTCTTCAAAACGCATCATTCATAAGATTCCCATTTTAACTAATAGTTTTGTTTGCTTGGGGCACTTAACAGCTTAATCAGATTCACTTGCACGGTTAATTTTATCTTTTCTTTCACGTTTCAAGAGTCATTAGTGTATAAATCCAATTCAAATTCGAATTTACCAACAGCTATTGAACTCAGCTGATGTAAGTGTAATCTCACATCGATTCATAAGACTTAACTACACTTTTTATCTCTCTAGTTTGGATTGGGTGTGATATTAATTTTTTAGATATTTTTTAACTAACTCTTTTTAATTTTGAAATTAAACAAATGTTGTCCCTTTATCAATATTTTTTACTTTAAACTCTCACAATATTATTTTCTATCAAAGTATTTGAAGGTTTATGATGACTTTTAGATATAAAATAAATTTAAAAATTTAGAAGTTAAATAATTAGTAAAAACTAAATTGGATTTGAAGAATTTTTAAAAAATGATATTAGGGTTTACTTTTAAAAAATAATTGACTTATGTGTTGATCCATTAACCTGCAAGTTCAACCCATTTTACTCACAGAACCAAAAAATATAATATTTAAATGAATTTATTTTTGTATTAATCCTAACTTAATAAATTAACCAATGAACATAGGTCCATCCGTCCATATATGCAGCTATAAGCAGAGGTAGCCATTAAATTGATGTCATGATTTAATACTAAGGCTGCCAATTATATGGTTCAAGTAAAATTTTACAATTTCTTACAAAACAATTCCGATATAATACCATATCTCTTCTGGTTGATGAGGTGATATACTGATATTAAACAGCTATTTTTAAATAAATTAACCCATGATGTTTCAAATTACAAATAATTATAATTAAAAATAGAAATTTTTAAGGAAAATTTGAAAAGAGATCATAAAAGAGTTATAACACACCATTTTCATAAGTTGCTTTGAATTTATTTTATTAAGTTTTTTTAATATGATTTATCACAATAAACTCTTTTTAACTTGTGACAATAAATTTTACAATAAATGTATGGTATAAATCTCTTTATAACAAAAATTAATTACTATTCAAATATATTCTAAAGTGTTATTGAACATTTTATTTAATAATATTTTTTTGTTCTTCTTATCAATATTGTTTTCACTGATGGTTAAATTTTTACGTAAAGTAATGTAAATCTTGAAAGGAAGAAGTTTTACAAGAACTCTTTTATCTTTTACTTGAAAGAGTTCTGTTTTTTTTTTTTTAAACAATGGTTGTGTGTTTTTTCTTCATTTTATCTTATCAACTAAATGACAAAAACAAATACTTTATTTTTACCTTTTCATAAACTTTTTTTTAAAAATTCTAATCAAACAAACTTTAAACTTTGATAAGATACAAAATATTAGATAAAGTTAATTGACTTTCCATCATCAGCCATACTTTAATATATGTGTTAATACAGTAATGACATTCACATGTGACAAATAATTAAATGATCAATGACAAGTTAACATATGAAAACTACAATTGTTATCAAAAGTCTTCTATAAGTTGTGTGTTGGCAAAACTAAAAAGATACTCCAAATATTTAAATATAATTATTATCACAATTCATTTTAGTTATTTGTTATTGAATCTCACACACAAATAATTTATTATATTTGTTCACGTTTTGAAATGTTGATAGTCGAATAATATCAATTAATTAAGAGTTTATTTGGAATGATATTTTTAGTTTTAAAAAATATGTTTGGAAGGATATTAAATAAAATTAAATTAAAAAACATTTTTATATTAAAAACAAATTATAAAAAATAAAATTAAAAGACAATATTCAATATAGCAAAGTCACGTGAGATAATAAAAAAAATTCTTAAAAGAAATGATTCAAGAATAAACATTCAGGTTTAACATATAAAAAATAAGATAAATTCATATTATATTATTTCTTCATAAAGCGGATAAATTCTAAATTAAAAATATTTATTCATTTCTTAAAAGCTCTCAACTCAATTACTTCCTAATTAATTATTTTTATATTAAATTTCATATTTTCAAATCTTTGTTGTTTATACTCTCAAATGAATTACCATATATATATATATATATATATATATATATATATATATATATATATATATTATATAATGATAAGATGCCTTAAAATTATTTTATAATAAGAAGTGTGAGAGTGAAATAAGAAATTGTTAATTGATGAGATTGTTATTTGTTAATGTGACGATGAAGGACACGCCAATCCCCACTATTACTATACAGCTCGTAAATCTAAGTTCTACCTTTCCAACTGTCAGAGATACAAGAATAACCCGCGTTACTAAAACGACGCCGCGCTCAACAACGATTCTTTTGTAGACGACGACGGTGTCAGACAAACGGTGCCGGTTGGTCATTGTCGCAATTGCGCTAATCTCCACATACAGCGCGTCGTTTGGTCACCTCATCGGAAACCCTCCTTCCTCTCAATTCCCAAACCCTAATTTAGAAATAAATAGGTAAGATTTAATTCCCCTTTGCCATCTTCTTCCCTTTCGTCTTGTTTGAATTGTTTTCGGATTTTCCATCTGAATTGTAATTCTGTTGTTTCTGGATGAACTTTAGTTCCTCGAAATTCGATTTTTTTTCTGCCTGATTTCGAAGGTTTTCGTTGTTGTTGTGTTTATCGTTTTCTGAGAATTATGTGTTGTGTCTGATTTTGATGTTTAGGGTGATTTTGATGATGGGTGGGAATTTTGTAATTTTCCGTTTTACTCCCTCTGATCGCGATGAACTTAAGGGACATCTTTGTACAATTCCTTTCACTTTGTGGTTCGCAGCAATTGTGTTGTAGGTTTGAAATTTTGATTAGAGGAATGTGTTGTTGTGGAGTCTGACTTTCTGGGTTCTTGAGGTCGTGATATTGGTGAAGATTCATTTTTGATGAGATTATGTCGATGCCTGTGTTGGCTTGATGGTTGGTAGTTAAAGGCAGTTGCTGATGAGGTTAATGTGATTCGTTGCTTCTTTTTCTTTCTGGTTTGCTTCACTATTGGTCATTCTGAAATTAGAAACAGGGATGCCTCAAGGAATGGAGGAGAATTTTCTGAATCTTCTTCTTTTCTCTTTGATTACAAACTTTTAGTTCCTAGGTTGTGTTTGCTTTACTAATTTTTAAATGCTGAGCGAGCAGGGGATTCTCCTCAATCTTGTAAAATGTCTCGATAGCTATGTTTACGTAACTTTTCTTTATATATATATATATATATATATATATATATATATTTATTTATTTATTTATTATTTTTTTTTAATTTTTTTTTTCCAGTCGAAACTGTGGAGAAGAAATTAGGGTGAGTTTTTTTTTATTATTTGATTCTTTTTCCGCCAATGGTTTATACTTGGAAAAATAGTTTTTTTTTCCCCCTATATGCAGGTGACTGCTCTGCTCTTTATTAGATTAACAAAAAGACGAGTGGTCCTCCATCTTTGGCCTTTTCCTCTCTTAATAAATTTCTATAACTAAAACAAGGAAAAGCATAACTTCTCAGTCTATATAGATTAATGTTGTTGACAACAGATTATGATTCGTCTTCAAAATATTAGCTGACCATTTAGTTTCCTCTATTGATTGGGAAGACCTTTTTCCATTTTCAAATATGTTATGGAACTCAGTTGGGGCCAAAGCTGCAATAAATAGGTTGATGTAAAGAAAATAGAACATTAGGTTCAGCTAACAATTGGTGAGGCATTATGATTTTCTGCATTTGAATATGAAACTTTGATTGATAGCGCTTTCTCTTTTTCTTTTGTTGGAGAGCTGATATAACCACCCTTATTTTGGATGGATGGAGTAAAGTCATGAAGTTAGCATATAATTTACCTAAATTAACTTTCACTGATGTATGGTCGAGTCAGGGTGAGCAAATGGCTATAATAATGTAAAATGCTGTTGTGTCATAATTTTTCGGTATCTATATATGATATGCCGTGAGTGCGTTTTATGTCATTGGATTGGAGTAGTTAGCAAGCTATGGATGTTAAATTATCATAAGTGGGATTCATTATGTCATAGCTACTTTTATGAAATATTAGTTTTATGAGATTCTATCAATGGGTGAAATTTATCTGACATTGATCCCATGGACTGGAAAGTTTTCTATCTTGTTGGACATTACCTGACAAATTCTTGACTTATTATTTTATTGATTATATTCAATCTTTTATTTCTTGCTTTTTTTATGCCATCATTCCATGTAAAATCTTTTAAATAAAACTTCTATTGATCATTTCTTCTATGAAATGGGTAAATGGCCTACATTGTCTCTCAGATTGATTTTTCTTTCTTTTAGCCCTTATTTTCAGGCCAATGGCATCTTCTTCAGACGCATGGATGAAGGAATATAATGAAGCAGTGAAACTTGCTGACGACATCAATGGCATGATTTCTGAGCGGAGTTCACTCCCTGCATCTGGACCAGAAACCCAGCGTCATGCATCTGCTATAAGAAGGAAGATCACAATATTAGGGACCAGACTTGATAGCTTGCAATCTCTTCTGTCAAAGGTCCCTGCAAAGTGAGTGTTCAGTTACTTTTATGCCGATTAAGAAAAGTTCTTTCTAATTACAGTAGAGACCATAGAGGACCTGGAACACTATGGCCTGTAGAGTGTAGACATTTAATAATTTTCATTTTGAAATAAATGTTTTAAAGAGTCATCCTGATCTTAACTCTCTTTCTTAGGATTTCCATATCAGTATAGCGTAAAACTTCTTTGGTTATAGTACTAAGAAAATATATGTTATCTATATGAGTCATTGTCTTCTTTTCAGCTGTATAGGTGTATGATGAAGTTGCATGATTGTTATTTTAAGTGTTTATTTGTCATGATGCACAGAACTGAGAAGGAGATGAATCGTCGCAAGGACATGCTTGGAAATTTGAGGACGAAAGTTAATCAAATGGCTTCAACATTGAACATGTCAAATTTTGCAAATAGGGATAGTTTGTTTGGGCCAGAAATAAAGCCAGATGCAATGAGCAGAACTGTTGGCCTGGACAACAGTGGACTTGTTGGTCTTCAACGGCAAATTATGAAAGGTCACTTAATTTGAATTGTTTGAAATTGAAATATATTACTCGTAGTATGCTTTTTGGATCTTGATTTGGGAGGGTGCTATATAAGCAGAGCAAGACGATGGCCTTGAGAAATTGGAGGAGACTGTAATCAGTACAAAACATATTGCATTGGCAGTGAATGAAGAGCTGGATCTACACACCAGACTCATTGTATGTTTGCCTCACATGTTAATATATTTTTTCTTTTACTGCCCATTTTCTTCTCTCATTTCTAAAGTCAAATTCTTCATCTTTTTTGGCTAGGATGACTTGGATCAACACGTAGATGTTACAGATTCTCGGCTAAGGGTAACACTCTTACTATAGCTTCTTGTTTTTAAGCACATGGCAATTAAATTTTATGAGATGGAGAAGTTTACAATGTGCTGAATTAGGCAACATCACTTGATATCCTCTTGAATTTCAGTCTTGTTAATAAATTCCTTAATTCTGAGAGGTCTGTTGAATTTAGATGTTGAAAGTGCATCAATTTAAACTTTCAAATAGATATATAAATTCTTCAGTTAGTCTTTGTTGTGGTAGTGTTTAGGAATAAAAATATATTTATTTGGGATAAAATATGCTTCACTATCATATGGTTTGTCAAATATGGACCTGTGGTGATTTCTAGCTCATGATGTTTCATTTGTTTATCTGGAGATCATGTGTTTTTGTATAATAACGTTTAGTAAATTTATTGCAAATATATATACATTTCCTCTGTTCAGGATAAACAGTTCGTGAGAAACTTTAAAATTTATGGATGAGATATAAAGCAGAACTAGATGATAATAAATTATGGAACATTAGTGGATGCCCTTGCAAGAGAACATGTAAATATACATACTTCTGATGTATTTTTTAAAGCAATTAAGTTGTTAATTTTTCCCCTTGTTTAACTCTTGAATTGATATATAAGTTTCTTGCAACTTACCTTTTTCATTTCTGTTGTGAAAACAGCGAGTGCAGAAGAACTTGGCAATTTTAAACAAACGTACTAAGGGTGGTTGCTCCTGCTTGTGCCTGCTTTTATCAGTGATTGGTATAGTGGTTTTGGTTGTTGTCATATGGCTGTTGGTCAAATATTTGTAATGATTAAAAAATACCCAACACAAGAAGTTTCTCTTTTTCATGTTTCTGAATGTGTGCATTGAAACATGATAACCGTGTTTCTTTGATTTTCCTTTGTGCTCTGGCAATGACATGGAATTTATTAAGGTATTGAAAGGCTTTGATATGTAATTGTCAAATTTCATGTGTTGATGATACCTTTGAGTGTTCTCTTGTAAAAGTCATGAAGTTGAAGTGACTTCCAATAACTACTTTAGCCACTAAGAACAACTGCATTCGGGAATTAATCAGATGCTTCGTAAACATTAGGTTGCATCTCTTCCTTACTGCTATCTATTTCAGAATATGGCATTTCGTGCGCATTTCTTTTTTCTGAACCTGATAAAATGATGAGGTTCTTGAATAAGCATCTATCAAAAGTTATGGAGTAGATTATAATTGTGGAAATATATAAACAAATTTTTATTTATATATTTTATTATAATTTGTTAAATTTCATTCATTATATAATAAGAGTTTATTAAATAAATTTTGACTTAAAACTTTACTTAACAATTTCAAAATATAATGGAAAAAGAAATACTGTGGAGTGTGAATAATATTTGAAATGTAAATAATTTGACCATGAAATTCTTTGCCACATTAATTGCTCCAATCGTTGAACTGAATTTAGAAATGGTAGTTCATTTGGAAAAGTGAATTAAGCATTACTGTAGAAGTTGTTCTAGTGTTGTTTAGTTAACTTTTGGGTTCTAATTCAATTGAACTTTTGAATTTAACTAATCTAACTTCATTCCAACTAATAACACGTTTGTAATTGCGTTTAAACATGCCAAAAAATTAGGTTCACTTAAAGATTATAATTAATTACATTAAAGTAAATGATGACCTATGATCCATTAAATATGAATCAAACTTTGAGTTGATTTGAATATTTGAGGTCAATTAGACCATAGAAAAATGATTCAATTGTAACAAACTTTTTTTTTTGTATACATAACTATACCCAACTTATCCCTTTCAAATTCAATCAACAAAAACATATCTTAAAATACTTAAAATTTGTCCTTAACGACAAAAAGAGAAGAAGATAAAAATACGTAAACATGTCTAATATGCAATTGTGACAAGTTTAATTGGAATAACTAAAATAGATTAATAAACACTGTATTATACTCAAATATTTAAACATAAGGATTGCTTCTACTCTTCACAGAAGTATATGCTAAACTCAAAGATGAACGGGCATATTTGTAAATATAATTAATAAAATCCCGATGACGCATCATTTTATAAAATATAATAAACACTATCATATAACTTATTTATAATATAGAATAAATAATTTATATACTAACTTTTAAGCTGAAACTTGATTTTCCCTCAATTAAATAATAAAAAATATACACAAAATAGTGAAGGGAAATTCTAACAGATTCATGTATTTTGTTCACTCAAATTGACATGTTAGTGACATATAATTCATGCATGTAGTTAAATAAAATTTTAAGGATTTTGTTTAAGTGTTGAAGATAAATAACTAATAATAATAAATTTTTATTAAAAAGAGAAACAATTATTGTATTTTTATAGCTTTGATATGATAAATGTGTATTTTTTTCATAAAAAAATTATATTTATAATTGTTTAAACTATTCAACCTCAAGAGCTGAGTTTAACAAAATTAAAATTTTAAATAATAAAGTAATAAAATTTAGACTTAATAATGACCATGTAATTTATAACATGTATTTCATTCAGTTTATTTTGAAAAAATGGTCATTCATCACTTAACAAATATTATTTTTATAAATTTAAATATCAACAAATGTATAAATTTTGTATTGCATAACATTTCAACTCAAATAATAAACAACTTTGAACTCTATTCTATTCAAAACTTGATTATTTTTATTTTCTTAAATTGTATTTTTAATTTAAAAGTAATTAATTTCTTCTTATGGATATGGGTCAAAAAATTAATATTTTTCAGGTCATCTACAACTTGCTGCTTAATCCATTAATTATGGAAATCAATATTAATATTTTTACATATTTAAAAATTATGAAAATTTAATCTTAACATTTTTTTGTAAATAAAAATTTTTTTATCAAAAGAAATTTAAAATAATTATATCATAAAATTAAATCTTTTAATTTCTTAAAATGCCTCCTAAGCCATTTTAAAGTTCTATAATGTACTGCAATATCAAATAAAAATGATAAAAATATATTTTTATGGTTAACCCTTTTTTTTAAATGAAAATAAAATTTATGTGACTAGAATAAACTTTTAACAACCTTTATTTAATAATAGAAAATGTGAAAAAAAAAAGTATATTAAGGCGGTATTACTTGGAAACTCAACCTAGGTATGAGAACGAGATTAATCTCAGCCTTTGATTCGTGACTCATTGACTCATGAGAAAAAGTGAAAAACCGTGCAAAGTCTTCGTCTCTTAGTTACGGTGATATAATATTTCTGTGTTAATTCAAACCCTTGTTCTGCAAATTGTTGTTATGCCATTACCACAATCATCACCCCCACTGCGTTAACCTAAGCGTGATTTATTGAATGCTGAAATATCAAAATTTGATGTTCAATTGAAATCAAGATGAGTTCGGTGCCAAAGGAAACAATTGAAGTCATTGCACAGAGCATTGGCATCACCAATTTATCCCCCGATGTTGCCCTCGCTCTCGCTCCCGATCTTGAGTATCGAATTCGAGAAATCATGCAGGTTCGTATCAGCACCTTCTTACACCCTTTTCTGCAATTTTGAATTTTCCGTGTGTACTTTATCACTCGCTTGGTGGGTTTTCGTTGTAATGCAATAATCTGGTTTTGAAAACGCAAACTTTTAATAGCCGATTTAGATTAATGATAAGACCCACTTTCAATGTTACGTGAGAACTTGTATATTTGAAAAATGTGTTCAGTTGGTTGACCTCGGAGGGTGGCGTGACTGTTCTGGTGTGGAGGTCATAGTGATGCTTGTGGTTGAAACGTGTGAGTAGTGAGGTGAAGAGGTGTTCATGCAAGAAACACTCTAGTGCCCGAGTGAGTAAGTATTTACGTAGCTGAGCATGGTTTGCCCTCTTTATTTATAGAAACACTCTAGGGTGTATCTGGATTAGGTGGGAATCCTATTTTGGTGACCTCATGAGGGGAGGTGACTGTAATGTGTAATGTGAACAAGAAGAGTGAGTATGGAATTTTCTCTATAAGTATTGTTGAATCCTGAGTTTCTTACAATGAAGGGTTGTCTCCAAAAGGAATTAGTGGCAGATACAGAGAAAAGAGTGAAGAAAGAAACAATCAGAGAGAAGCGAAAACAGAATCAATTTTCCCATACTCTTCCCTCCTCTAACTAACTGTGTATATACCATCATCCACCTCACACATAGTCTCTCTACCGTGAATTCGTTATTTTGCTTCTCTCACTCGTTCGTACACACAACTAATGGATCCGCTGTCACCTGACCACTTAATGATGCCGCAGCTTTAGCCTCCTTGTCATTTTCCATATTTGCCCTTTTCCTCCTTTGTATATGTGACAGTGACGTAAGTGAGTAATAGTATAGCCAAAATTAGATGTGCCCATTCTGGGACAGGAGGATCTATCCTTGTTGAGGGGATTAGGTGTACTTTTGTGAACCTTGCAGTTAACAAGGAGATGGAGTTGTGTTGAGGTGTTTATGGCTGGGTTTGATACAATTGCGCCTCTCACTTTGGTGCAGTGGAACACAACCTAGGGTGAGAGGGCCACAATTATTCGTGTGGACCAGGTCGGGTTGGTGTCCAGGCACTTGTTGGGCTGTCATTGGTGATGGCCCCTATGAGTTGTCCTTGTGACAATGTCGGTGGGCTTCATGCTTGCGGCTGTTCTGGGCGTTGCCCCAGATCAATATGAATAAAATTCCATTAATGAGTGGTTGGAATGTTTGAGCATGCTAAAAGGGTTGTATCAGTTTATAGTATTTGATATATTCCTTTCATTGTTGTTATGTATGAAGCACAAACACATCACTTGTTTGAAGTGTTGTGTTGTTGGTCACCTTTTTCATACCAACACCTGCCTGACATGTGTCAAACACTCATTTTTAGGTCTTTAGTTAAAAAATTACTTTTTATTGACTCAGACACTTGAGTGATGCTTCCATACAATTGGACGAGCTGACATCTTTATAAGAATAGACACACTAGTAATTCTGAAAAAAACTTTCATTTTTTTAAATTTTAGAAAAAGTCAGTTTATTATATGAAAGATTAAAAAAAACAATGTCTTACTTATTTTGTGAGACTCATTATCATAAGGAAAAAAGTGAATATTCAAGAATGTACAAAATATTAATTATTGATTTAAATCTTTTCTTATTTTGCTCATATTTCATTTCGTTTCATTTTAGTTTTTCACTTTTTCTTTTATGTGTGTGTATGTATGTGATGTCCTATATTTGGGACATTAGCCATTCGGAGTGTCAGTGTGAAAGTCCCTGCATAGATTTGTTATACTACTATTACTTGAGTTTGGCTGATGAACAGATGGGCTTTTTTTAAAAATTGAACAGGAGTCAATAAAATGCATGCGCCACTCAATGAGAACGTTTCTCACTACAGATGATGTGGATAGTGCTCTTGCATTGAGAAATTTAGAGGTAGTGTGCTTTACTTTTGATATGTTACTTTGCTTTTAGAATTTGATTACATGATATATTTTTGAAACGTGTGAATTGGATAAGATGGGTTTTCAAGGTAGCATATGTTGTTTTTACTTTGTAAACAATATTTTAAAGTCACATGTGAAAGTCATTAATGGGTAGCTGACCTCACTTAGTATGATAAGGCTTGGTTGTTGTTGTTGTTGTGTGCAAATCAGTTTAACTTTGATAGTGTATCTATGAAAAGGCACTAAATTGTCATTGAGGATGGTATGTCTCTTGTGGTATAGGCATATGAGGGTAGTCATTGTAGAAGTAGAATGCCACATTCATATGTAGATATTTCTTTGAAACTCCTAAAATGGGAAACACTTCTCTGTGTGAATTGTGTTTATGTGTGCCTGAAATATTTATCACCATGTCCAGTCTGCCCCAGTTTGTTAAAAATTTTAGGGTTAAATGTGCTTTTGGTCCCTCATAATTTGTTTTGTTTGTCTCCACTTTTTTTAAAATAATTGATTTTAGTCATTAATTAGTGTTAAAGGATGATGTGACTAACTCAAATGTAGTCATGTGTCAATGTTTTTGTGCTATGCGCCATTTTTTGTTGGAGTCACATCAATGAGAGGGACCAAAACCAACAAATCTAAAAAATGTAGGAATTAAAACAAAAAGAATAATTTTATAGGGATCAAATTAAAATTAAGTATATTTTGAGAAATTAAAAACATATTTAAGCCAAAATTGTAACTCTGAAATTTCTTTGTTCTGTTTTGATTTATGGCAAAATGTTATGGTGTTGTTCGATTCATATAGTCATTTTCATCTAGTGAGACTTGGTTGTTATTGCTATTATTGCATTGTGTTGTTTTTGTTTTCATTTTGCTTATGTTTTTATTTGTGTATCAGCCGCTATATGGTTTCACCTCAAATGATCCTGTGCGGTTTAAAAGGGCTGCTGGACACAAGGATTTGTTCTACATTGATGATAAAGATGTGGATATCAAAGATGTAAGAAATTTCTATGTACTTCAGGATTGCTTTTCTGATAAACACAGTTTTTGCTTCCTGATATGATATTCTCACATTTCTTTTCCTGATTTGAATAGCTCATTGAAGCTCCTTTACCGAAAGCACCCCTTGATACATCAATAACCAGTCACTGGTTGGCTATTGAAGGTGTCCAACCTGCAATTCCAGAAAATGCTCCAGTTGAAGGTATTTTTCTTGACAGAAGTGTGATAAAACTAACCTCCGTACTCCTTAGTACTGTGTTTTTATCAACCTCACTGTTTGTACGATATTATGGCCAATTTTCATCTATCAAGCCAGCCTGCATGTTTTCATGGTCAACCTTATTGTTTGTATGATAATATGCTATTTTGTATTCATTTTATGGTAAAAATAAAATAAAATTGATTTTCCTGATGTTGACATTTTTGCTTGCACTATGTTACTTGCAGCTCCCTCTGAGATAAGAAAATCTGAATATAAGGAAGATGGGCTTCCTGTTGATGTTAAATTACCTGTTAAACATGTAATAACAAGGGAGCTTCAGGTATACACATTATTTGCAATGTACTCTTTTGAGAAGTTTCATATATTTTTATCAATGTTAATGAACTTTATTTCTTCTACAGCTTTACTATGAAAAAATAATTGAGCTGACTTTACATAAGCCAGGCTCTATTCCTTTTAGAAGAGCATTGGTTAGCTTGGCAACAGACTCAGGACTCCATCCCTTGATTCCTTATTTTACACGCTTTGTTGCTGATGAGGTATTGACTAGTCTATGTCAGTGATATTTTTTGTCAAACTTCTTAATTTATTCACTGAAATAGACTATAAGTACTCATATTTATCTTTTTTCCCATGTCATTTCAGGTGGCACAAAATTTAAATAATTTAACTGTTTTATTTGCCTTGATGCGCCTTGTGCGGAGCCTTTTGCAAAATTCTCACATACACATAGAACTTTATGTAAGTATGACGCTATTGTAGATATCTTTGCATCTATATATCATCGTCAGATTATTTTTGTCATGTATGACAACACTCATGAGGTTGTGAGGTTGATCACTGATATGTGATTTTATTAATAAGCACAAAAACCTTACTGCAGTTTTGGTCATGTTTGGGTTAAAGATTAATTGATTAAAAGGAAGTTATACCTTTCTAAAACTTGAGCATTTACTACAGTAAAATGTCTCTGTGGTTTTAATTTCTGCCTAATAATATTTTTGTTAAAACCTGCCAGTTACATCAATTGATGCCGCCTATAATTACTTGCGTTGTTGCAAAAAGGATAGGAAACAGAGTATCTGATAATCACTGGGAGCTTAGGAACTTCAGTGCTAATCTTGTTGCTTCAATATGCCAAAGGTGTGAAACTTCTTTCTGTTGAATGATCAGAGTATAAATTTCCATGGTAGAGCTCATTTAATTAAGATAACATTAATAACTGTTGCAGCAACTGCACTAATATCATTCTTTCTGACATTTTGTAAAGATTTGGTTTGGAGACTTATTTCCTCATTATTTGTAATTAGGGCAGTTGTTCCATATTTCTTTTAATTGGTTCAGATTTGTTGCCCATAATTCCTAGGATAACATTAATTCCCTAGCCTGTGTATATTGTGATCAGCATCGTACAGTGGAGATCATCTGTCGTCAGAAAATAGTATTCTGATTTTTCTCATATTTCAAGTTTAACATTCTTTAGGGTGGGTAATTGATTCATATTTCTACAATTATATATTTCAAGCATTCCATGGTACAAAAAAGAACAATGAGAAGGTCTGCTACTAAATCATGTTATGAGACTTTGATTGCTTCTGGTTTAACTGCACGGTTAACATGTGTTCTGAAAGGCTGTAGACAGTAGAAAAAAGGATTATTGATACGCATACCAAAATTTTCCTGGATAATTTAAGACTACATATACTTTGGTTTATGAAGGATGAATGTTTTCTTACACCTTTTGACATTGCATTGGTTGTGAACATATTAAAATAATAATCGTAGAAGAATAAGAAATTCTCAGCTTGTATTTATCATTTATATTTTTTGAGTTTTTATGTTCCATGTATCTGGAATTTTACAGATTTGGGCATGTTTATCACAATCTTCAGCCACGTGTGACAAAGACATTTCTTCATTCTTTCTTGGACCCTTCAAAAGCTCTGCCTCAACACTATGGTGCAATTAAAGGAATAGCAGCTCTTGGATCACGACTGGTCTCTTCAACCTCAGTATTTTAATATTAACCTAGTAGATTGATAGATGGCTTGTGGTTGTGAAATTGACTTCATATTAATTTTCTGATGATCTCTTGCAGATAATAACTTACTGAAGACATGTGTACTTTTCCTTTTTAGATTAGATATGATTGTTTTCAATACAGACAGGGCATTCTTTTACAATTTGTTCAGTTCTAATCAACCATTAATAAAAGTTAGACATGATGTTACATTCTCAATTTTTTGCATGCATTATATTCCTTTTTTTCCTCTGGCGTTTCTAGTTTAGGAGAAGAGACTGATTTCTATTTTCATTATTCAATCAAGGAATTACAGAGAAAATAAATAGGCAGAGGAAGAATCAATCAGAGAAATTTTTCTTGCCCAATCAGATTATAAAATAAATTAAATAAGCGAAAATAAAGAAAAGATCAAATCAGAATTAGACAGATTCAAACCAGATTTTATTCTATCCTAACTTTCTAAAAATAAAGTATTTACACAATCTCAACAGGGTTCACAGGCGACGATTACACTTTGTGATTTAGAATCTCTAGTTGTATCGGTGTCAGCTAATGAATGCATAATACTCCCTCACTTTGAGCAGGTTCGCCTGCTTATACTTCCAAATCTTGAGCCATATTTGCATCTTCTTGAGCCAGAAATGCAACTTGAGAAGCAAAGTAATGAAATGAAGAGGCAAGAAGCTTGGCAAGTTTATGGGGCCTTGTTGGTGAGTTGTAATCTTTCATTGGGTTTAAGTTTGACACTCTGTCAGTCTAAAACAATTTTACTCTGTCAAATTATTTGTTGCCACGTTGAATTTGACGACTTGTCTGGTTATGTGATGTGGTAACAATTCGTTGGATGACACTGTAAAACTCTTTACACTAAGATTGCATTCAAATTTATGTAATTATATAGAATACCTTCCTTTGATTATGCACAATAAATCTGTTTCCCCTTATCATCCCTTTAGCTGATTACTGAAGTAATTAACTTTTCAGGATGCAGTAGGTCGATGTATGCATGAGAAGGTCAAAAAGTTCAGCAGTTTGCTCTCTCCTCCAACTGTTAGTTCAAGAAGCACTGGAAAAGCCATGATTGCGATACCAGGTATGACTCTATTTTATTACATTGGGATGCCTTAGGGTGTTTGCTGTAAGAGATTCATCTCTCTCTCTCTCAAGGTTAACTTTTAATCCGATCAGAGACACAAACTAGGGGAAGGGGAGGGGAGATAGGATTGATGATGGAAAACATTTTATTTATTATTAAACTCAAAATAGTAGATGAAAAGCAGTGGGAAACTGAGCGCCCTACAAAGAAGTAATTATTAGATGATCATTTATTCAATAAGCTTTTATGACATGAACGTTTATGTTTATAAATTTTACCATGAAACTTATTTAAATAAGCTAAGAAAAGTTTGTGATAGATTTAAGTAATTTTCACAAGCTTTGTATAAGCTCTTCTAGATGTCCCCTAAACTAACAAGGAGTATATATAAAAGCTGTAGAAATGTCATACTGTATAATAGAAGATTATTTGTGGAAATAAATAAAATACTTCAATAAAAAATCCTGCTGGTGGACTTTCATGTTTTGAGATATGATGTTCCCTCCTGCTGGTGGACTTTCATTGGACACTTACCTGGAAGTACTGTAAGCTATCTCAACACTCTTAGGATGACCTGACTATTAATTAGGCCAACCTACCCTCCCCCTAAATATATAACTTTAAAAATTATACATATATAAGAATTGTATCAGTTGAGAGTGCGAGGAGAGTTGTGTTTTAGCTTACTATCAAAATGGATTGTCAAGATTATGTTTTAAGTAAAATCAATTTTGACCATTTATGCAATACTAAATGGTCAAAATTAGACCTTCTTACACACTCACATGATACAATCCCAACTCATATATTGAAGTTGCATTGAAAGCATGAGTTTCTCAATGTGCTTCCCCAACTATTGCTTTGGATAACTTAAAAGGTTTCAATCATAAGCTGGCTCATTTTGCATCCATGTATCCTATAATTCCAATGCTGCTTTAAGCTTATTATGTGATAGTTATGCTCTATCTTTATTCTTTACTTTCCAATTAATGAAGGCAAACGTAAAGCCAGCACAGACAATCTAATGCAGCAACCTCCATTGAAGAAACTTGCAACAGATGGTCCTGGGGGTGTGGTACCAATGAACTCCATGTCAGTTGACATGCAAGGCTCAACAGGTGGATTTTCCAACATGATGGGGGTTCCCACTGTCGGCATATCATCAATGGGCCGTCAATTATCCAACGACAACGCGCTGGGGAGAGAGATTGGAGATCAGCAAAGGAAGGTGTCTTCCACTCTTGCTCAAGCTTGGAAGGAGGACATGGATGCAGGACATTTGCTGTCATCGGTGTATGAATTGTTTGGCAAAAGGGTGTTGCCATTTGTTCCAAAACCTGAAGCATGTATATTTTTGTAGCACTAGTTGCACTGCTGATGTTTGTTTTGCATGCAAGAGTGCATGTAAAACTGTGACTAGCTGTCGATTTGTGTCAAATATAAAACAACGTTGGCGAGAGTGGAAAATCACCTGTATTTAATTTCTTTAATTTTTTAACTCATGGAAAAACCATGTAAAAGTTTTTTTTTTTTCTCAAGTCTAAGATGATTTATATAGCATTGATATTATCTTTTAACGATATTGCTAGTCCGATGCCAATTAGACAATTATTTGTTGATGCATCCAATGTACAATTCTAATGGTGGTTTTTTAGTGGTTAGTGCATTGATTGTGATGCTCCAAGGTGATGGTAATGAGGGATAATGTTTTCAAATGGTCTCTGGGTAAGGCATTTTAGGGAGGGATGGGTTACGGAGGTAAAAGACAAAGGAGGGGGTGGCTTTACAAGTTTTATTGGGTAGCATCGGCTAGAAAGGTGACCAAAGCATAGGGAAGGTGACAATTATTAGGGTGAAGGAGAGAAGTCCCACTTCACATTCATAAAAAAAATAAAAAATAAAAATTCATAGACACAGTTATTCTTACCTATTAGCATATACTGACATGGATTTCTATTAACCATCTTAGCATTAATAGAATCATGATTAAATTGGAACCTTTTTGAAAAAGATAATTCTAAATCCTCCTACTCTTTGTCCTTCTAATTATTAAATTGAGAAAATTTTTAATATATAATATCTTTTACTTTCAAAAAATGATCTTTAGAACTGAGGTTAAGCATTAATGATGTCTATTTTTTGCGTTCTATTTAAGTGGGTGTTTGACGAGCGCGTTCTGCCTCATCGATTCCTGAGCCCACAACCGACGTTAGGAGAACCGTCGACGGCGCGGCAACCGTCGTCGTTCATCAGCTTCTGCATGCACTCTTTTTGGGTGGCGAGCAAACGGGGCTACATTATCACGGGTTGAAAAAGTCAGTAGAAGATTATAAATTTAAAAATTAATTAACACATTCTTTAATAAACCATGACATGCATAAAAAAAATACCTCATTAGTACTTAAAAAGGATAACAAAACCTTATTAAAAATTAAATTAAATGAGACAAAAATTATATATTTATAGTCATTAAAAATGTTTAAAAATTATTAATCATCATAACAAACTTAAATGTTTTTAATTTTTTTTATATTTTACATATGCTTTTAAAAAATAACCGATAAATAATTTTTTTGATGTTTCATTGGTTCATTAATTTCCTTTGTAAAAGAAGGATTTTAATAAGTTATTGAATCTTAAATTTATCACTTTTTTTCAGCTCCTATAAATATTTTTTACTTTGAATTCCTATGTTATTATTGTTTTATCTAATTATTTGAGGGTTTATGATGAATTAAAGTGATTTCATTAATTTGAAAAGAAATTGAAAATGCAGAAAAGTTTAGAGGTCACTGCTACCGCTGCAAACACTTGTTTTGGCTTTTCATCTTTCATTCGTTTCCAATTCCAAAATGAACGTCAACATGAAAACTGAACTCAATCTTCATCTTCTCCTAAAACCCTAAACCCCCAATTCTTCAACATATTCCGCATTGTAGAAAAACCAACCCTAGAACCCCAAACCATCTACAAGAACGAAAAATGGCCATGCTTCCCCTCACAAACCCCAACGAGTTACTCTCTTCCTCCTTCATCCCCACTTCAATTTTCAGAAGCAGCGTTTCTCCGAACCCTAGAAAAAGAACAAGCGCCTCCCAACCCCTGCGACGTCATTTCGAGTCCGTGACCTGCTCCTTCTCGTCACTTGACAGCGCAAAGATTAAGGTTGTCGGTGTCGGTGGCGGTGGCAACAATGCTGTGAACCGCATGATTGGTTGCGGATTACACGTGCGTTTTTCCTTCACCATTTGTAATTACAAATGAACTTTTTTAAATTATTTTTTCGAACCCCATTTGGCGGATTTCTTATTGGGTCATTTATTTTTGTTATTTAATATTTTATGAATTATTTACAGTTGTGATGAGTTTGGTTGGCTTGCTTCTTTTGGTGGGATATATTTTTAGTTTTTATTATGGTTAAAAAAAATTTATTCATGCCAGTGTCATGGTGAACTGAAGACAGTGTAACTTTTTTTTACCATTAGCGTTGTGTGATTTATGTAGTCGAATTTATTTAATTGAATAAGGCTTTTTTGTTGTTGTATTGTTGGTGTTTTGCTGCTGAACTTCAAAGTAGTGATTGCTAATGTTGTATTCTGATACGTTTTTTTAATCAGGGTGTAGAATTTTATGCTATAAATACCGATGCTCAAGCACTGTTGCATTCTGCTGCTGAGAACCCTATCAAAATTGGAGAACAGCTAACTCGTGGATTAGGTCAGATACTTTCCTTCTATTGTCTCTGAGATTCCTTTGTTCTTGATTGTAACTTTCATATAATTTGATTTTTGTGTGCGTGTGTGTGGCTTCACTCCAATGTGTCCTTTGATTCAAATTGCTTCATAGAGATGCAGGTATTTGATTCAAATTGCTTCATAGAGATGCAGGTACTGGTGGGAATCCACTTTTGGGGGAACAAGCTGCTGAGGAATCACAAGAAGCTATTGCTAATGCTCTTCGTGGCTCAGATTTAGTGTTTGTAACTGCTGGCATGGGTGGGGGCACCGGGTCTGGTGCTGCCCCTGTTGTAGCTCGAATATCAAAAGAGGCAGGTTACTTGACTGTAGGTGTTGTTACCTATCCGTTCAGCTTTGAGGGACGGAAAAGATCCTTGCAGGCAAGTGTCTTTTCTTTTCTAAGTTGAGAATATGACTAATACAATATATGGATGCTATTTTTGGTTTTACTTGATACTGCTATCCTTAGAATGCTCAAAGAGTTGGAATTTCCTTTTTATTTTCCATTCATATTGGTTGATCATATCCATCTTTGTTATGGCTAAACTGTGATAATGTATTTCATCAATTGCTTGATGTTTATTATATTGTGATGCTGTGAAGAACAGAAGATACTTTGAGAGGTTAAGTTTAGATGTCATTCTTTCAGGCTCTGGAAGCCATTGAAAAACTGCAGAAAAATGTGGATACTCTCATAGTGATTCCGAATGACCGTCTGCTTGACATGGCTGATGAGCAGACACCTCTTCAGGATGCTTTCCGTCTTGCCGATGATGTTCTACGACAAGGAGTACAAGGAATATCAGACATCATAACAGTGAGTTGATTAACAATTTATTTATATTTCCTCATCTGGGATCCCACTAGATTGGTAGATTGCAAAGAGAGAGTGGGGGACAATAAAGGCCTGAATCATTCTCCACCTCCTTCCAAGGCATTTGAGTGATTGCTCCTCCTTCATAATTGGAAATTTATTTAATGTCAAATACATTCAATGTCAACTTATTTGGATGATATTAATCATTATGTCTTTTTGTAGATACCTGGGCTTGTAAATGTGGATTTTGCTGATGTAAAAGCTGTGATGAAAGACTCTGGAACTGCAATGCTTGGTGTGGGTGTTTCCTCCAGTAAAAACCGTGCAGAAGAAGCTGCAGAACAGGCTACATTGGCTCCTTTAATTGGATCATCTATTCAATCAGCTACAGGTGTAGTATATAATATTACTGGTGGAAAAGACATAACTTTGCAGGAAGTGAATAGAGTGTCTCAGGTACTTCATAACTCCTTATAGCACCTGTTGAAGTAACTTTTCAGCATTTCTTTTGCACTTTGATCTCGTGCATTTGTTGCAAACATGTGTTTACTGTTTTCTACATTTCATAATCTTTTGTAGGTGGTGACGAGTTTAGCTGATCCATCTGCCAATATTATTTTTGGGGCTGTCGTTGATGATCGCTACAATGGGGAGATTCATGTGACAATCATCGCCACCGGCTTCTCACAGTCGTTCCAAAAGACACTACTAACAGATCCAAGGGCAGCGAAGCTACTTGACAGAGTCCCTGGAGGCCAAGAAAGTAACACAACATCGCCACCCCTCAAGTCCTCAAACTTTCCATCCACAGTTGCATCTCGAGGACCTCCACGAAAGCTCTTCTTTTAGTTGCTTAGTTCTTTTACCCTTCTTTTTTGGTTGTAGTATTCAGCTGTATGAAGCTTAATTATGGTATCATTCTGGTGATGATCTCTTTTCTTGAATTCGGAGACTGTTTTTGCAAACTTTTTTTTTCCCCTTCAAGTACATGACCAAGGATTGTAGTGTAACAAACGGCTTGCTTGTAGCTCACTGAAACGGCATTTTTGTCAAAGGAATGGATGTATATAGGTTACTTTACATGTTGATGGAGCTGCAATTATAACTCAGGGCTAACGTGTATGCATTTCCATAGCAAATTCTGGTCTACTCAAAGGTGTGAATTGCATAACCAAAGATGGAATGCGGTGGTAAGTGATAAGAATAACCAAAAAGGGTTCATTGTTATGCACTCAATGGGAGGACCAAACCAACCTTCAAATTTTGTGCAAGACAATTGTTGAGAAGGCTTCATATTTGTACCATTATAAGGGTATGCTAGGGTAAGTATCTTAATTAAATATTCATTTAATAAATTCTTATTATATTAATATTTGAAGGCATAAAATTTATTATAACCTTTCAGAATAAATTTAAAAGGAGCTTATTTTGATAAGTTATGTTAAGAATTTTGTTTAAAATAAAGCTTATAAGAGTTATAAACTATTTTCATACATTATCTAGAGGCTTACAAATGCATTTTAAATGCCTGAGAAATTAATCTTACAACAATGTATATGCAAATGTAAGTGACAATTTAAAAAAACGTTAAATGACTCGTAATGTACTAAATTGGGCTAAATATGATTTGAACATCGATATTGTTAATTAATTCCTTATAAAAGGTAATAATTAAAGTTGGGGATGTTATATGTTTGATGAATTGCTAATAAATTAATAATTAACACTAACATATACAAGTCTCTTAATTGGATATGGGCTAACAAGAAAATAATGGAAAAGTCCAATTAGCCATAAAGGTCGTACTTTAGCGCAATATGGGCCGGAGCCCAGTTCGTACTGAATCAGAAAATCGACGACGCGTTTCACTATATGCGGAAGGTGATCAAGCGACACCATCGTGAGATCTCTGCTTCAGAGTTCAGAGGTAACAAACAACATTCAAACGCTTTTTTTTTTTCTGTCTTCACTTTCTCTCATTTTCCTTCTCTTTCTTGGCAACCAAACACCTCAAATAGGGTTCCGTTTCCGCTCGAAAATTACTCATTTTACATTTTGTTTATAATTTTCTTCATTTCGCGCTAGGAATTCGTTTTCTCTGATCGGGATCTGGAAGGAGGCGAATCAACATGGGTTTCTTGGTGACGACGCTAATCTTCATAGTGATTGGGATCATCGCGTGCCTTTGCACCAGAATTTGCTGCAACAGAGGGCCTTCTACCAATCTGTATACTTCTTTTGATTCTCTTTCGATTTTTTTATTTTTTTTTCTGTTTCCTTGTTTCCTGAATTGTTTAGTTATGAGCTTCTGAACTCGAAAAATCTCTAAATTTGATTAGATTATGTAAATGGATTATCTCATCATGTGTTTCAGTTGAGTTTTGTTGCTGCATTTAGTGGTTTAATCAGAAGAATTTAAGGATGATTTAGGGAATTGTATTTTCTTGTTTTCTAATATTGTGCAACCGACCATTTATTTAATGTTTTGAGAATACTTCCGGTTATCAAATTAGATTAAGGATGTCTTGCATAGAATTAAATACATTTATAGTCAGACATGATTGAGGCACTTGGGAAGACTATGCATTAACCAGTATTTTGGGAAAAGAAATTCCTAGACGTTAATTGTCTATCATTTTTTAAATATAAAGCTGGTAAGAATGTATAGGATTATTAGTTCGTTCAGCATGTGATGGTGCATTGCTTGTGATTGCCTGCTTCTTCAACACCTTAACTATTCTTGTTCTTATTAATTGTTGATACTGTCATCAACTATATATACCAACTTTTTGCTGTGTTTAATAATGCAACGTAATCAGATTTATTTGGTGACTCAATCTAGCTCTGACAAACTTATACATCGGTTCACATGATGCGCCCAACCCTCCCACACACACACACACACAAATCTCATGAATATTCGTTGTCTCCATTCTTCAGCTGTTCTCTGTACAATGCGTATTTCATTCTTTTTCACATGTTTCTAAAATCTTCTTATTCTGTTGCAGATTTCACCTAACTTTGGTTATTACTGCTACAATTTGCTGCTGGATGATGTAAGTGTTGTTTGATCGGCATTCTTCTTTTATTTTGTACCAAGTTAGAATGAGTAGGAATTAAGGCATATAGAACCTATGTTAGTTCCCCTGATAAGGAATTTATTGATTCGAAGAAGAAATTACTAAATGAACGTGGCCTCATGTGTAAATAACTACTCAAAGGCTGACGCATAGTCATAATTAATGTTGTTGAAGCTGTTTATTTCTATAGCTATTCTTTAAATCTTTGACCATGATACTGCTACGTGAGTTTTTGTGAGGTTATTGTCAAATTACCAGTACTCTATGGCAGCCCTCGTAAAATAACAGTAACTGAAGCAGAATAGCTGAGTTCTGTAAAAGTGGGATAGTTTAGGTAATTAATTGTACCCGAGCATGCAAGCATTCATGCTATACTTCTTTTAAAAACAGGGCATTGTGTTTTATTGGCCCAAAAATGAGGCCACTAAGCCACAATGTTCCCTATTGTGATATTAGTAACTGAAAATGTGTCCAACTCTAAGTAGTCTGTGAATCAGTAGTTGCTTTGAAGATTTTCTTTTTCTTTCGTATTTACTCATTTTCATTCTTATGTTTTGTATGCACATCCTGTATTGGGATTTTACAAGAGAAAATTATAAATAGCTTATGTACATACATACAAACATATATTCAAACCCTTGTGAAAAAATTTGATGAACTTGATTCGAGGAATGTTGTGTGGCCTCATGGATGAATGCTGTCTGATAGTGTGTCTCTAAAGGTTTATTTTTTTGGTTTTGTGTGGGGGGGAGGGATTGGCCTCTTTATATGGAATGCTCATATTCTTTTTTAATATGTTTCATGCCTAAGTTTTTTGTCTACATGATAATAAATTCAATCTTCACTGATCTTTCATTGCGATAATTTTCAAAAATCTAAACACTCATGCCTTGAACAGTTGTAAATTATTATGAAACATTTGCGATCAGTTCAGCTGTAATTATAGCTTGTGAATAGCCAATCATGTGTCTTCTTTGTCATAAGGCTCACTTTGGTCTTTCCTCCATTCTATCAGGTGGGCGATTGTATATCTGGCGCAGATGAAACCACTCATAGTACCTATACTGAGTGAGGGAGAATAAGTCTCTGCGTGGACTGATGTAGCTCCTTGTAAGTTAGAGAAAATGGATCACGGATTGGCTGCTGGATAGAATTTGATTTTGCTCTCATGAGTCGTTCAGTATTTTTTAAGGGTGGAACTGTATGTATTTCTTGTTGGATAATGGCATTTTAAGTTGGATTTCTATTGCTACGTGACATTAGCCGTGTTACAAATGTTGTATTTAATCCTCATTCATTTCAAATTCAAAAAATGTCCCGTGGACAATGATATTAAATATGTATTTTGGTGAAAAATAAGTTAATGAAAGAAATGTTTTCTCAGAGAAAAAAAATTCTCATCAAAAGGCTTCAAGTTTGTGCAACACTTGCGCTTCTCGTGTACAATTTCTTTAGGAATGGATCTAGTCCCATTAACTACCAGATGAATGAAAAGTTGTTAATTACATTACTGTTAACCGAAGGTAAAAGGATAGTTTTAGTATGCCTTTTAAGTGACTTAGTATTCAGCACCAGATGCAAAGGTAAACATGCCTACAGCAACAGTCATTGGTATGACTCGAAGAATGAAGTTGAAGTATGCAGCTCCAGAAGTAGCAAAGCTATGGGGTAGACAAAGAGATCTTACATACGAAATGCCAATATACTATATCGATGTCAAAATTTGCTTCTTTTTCATCTAAACTAGAATGATCTGCTGGTAAGAGTGTCAGCTTCGTGGTCACTTGGGAGGATCTAATTTTTTTATGGGAGTTTTTCACATGAGAGGAGGAGATTAGTTTCTTCACTTCATAGCAGAAGCAGTTGCTGATTTTAGCTTATCATGAGGTGAAGATATTCTTTGATATTTATCTAGCAGAGAGTCCATGTTAAGCGGAAGACTGAGCTTCCCACCGTCTATGCTTAAATCTTTCTCAGCGACAAAGAAAATGCTAACCCATATGTGGAAGAAGAGGTCAAGAGGTCGCTTTTGTCTAATCTATTTCTAAAAGCAGCACCAGAATGGTTATATCTTGTCTATCCTCATGGTTTACCCTATGCTTAAATTATTATTTTTTCCTTAAAAAAAGGGAAAATATCTTTCTTCGTTGGTTTCTATACAAAACTTTGCTTTCAAGAATTTGATTCGCCTTAATAACAATGATGATTACGCAGAATCCATAGTCAGTGAAACCTTGTGTTTCCTGGCATCTAACCTAAATAAATTTACTAATTAGGATAACAGTTACGTAATTTAAATTCAATTTTGTTAATCATTTCCTTAACAATAATGGTTAAGCTATTTTGTTAAACATCAGAGATGTACGATATCATTAAATGTTACATTTTCAAATAAAAAGTAATTTGTCATCGTGATTCGTGAATAACAATATTCACTAGTACATTGTTCGAATAGATCATGTTATTGGCGTTAATAGTACCAATAAATACAAGACCATAATATTTCCCATCCTTAAATCTGATGGCTTCAAATGCAAAGGCTAATCCGGTTGGTGATGTCAACTCTGCTCCCAAGTCTACAAAAGCTGTAGGCCCTGATGCACCCTCTTATCCTCCCACCGTTTGCCTTCTTCTCTTTGCTGCCAACGCTGCTTGTGGTGCCATCATGGGGTCCATTTTCGGCTATGGTGACGTGCTTTGTTAAATTCATAGTATGTTTGGATTCACGTTTAAATGTGTATGATGATTAAAACCCATGTTTATTTCAACGTTGATAGTTATAGTTTCTGCGTTATATGGACGTTTACAGGATTTTTAACGTGTTTCCAAAACACACATACTTGCAAACGGGGAGCTAGTTTAATGCAACGTATTTCCCATTTGTTTCTTGTTTTCTCTTCATCATTCTCTTACTTGCTTACTATACAAACTTTCTTGGATTTTCACTCTTTATTGTGGCATGAGATTATGGGATGAGGAAGATGGAGGATGGATTTAGTCAAATAAGCGACATGGAGTCTGCAATTTGAAATTGATCTTTCTTGGCTTTATGACATCCTCAATATAAGTTATAACTTAGTAGTATATGTTGTTCTGTTTTAAATTGAGACAAGATATATTGCAGGAATGCAACCCCCCAAATTTACGTTAACACAGACTACAAAGAAACCTCTTGTCTGTACTAATAATAATCTTTGATTGTTTAAACTACGAAGTTTTTAGTTTTGTTAAGCACGTAGAGAAAGAAATAGCATTATATGGTGATTTAATTAGTGGTGTATTTTTGAGACATTTGCAACTTAAAATATTCTCAACATAACTCTTATATTGGATAGGGATCTTTTATTTTTTATCGCGAACAAACTATTATGTGTATGTATTTTTGTATTTTTGTTTAAACAAAAAATTATTCGTTTAAGTAAAATTGTAAAAATACAGAATATGAGGGTCATGTAACATGAGGAGATTATGATCCTTCTTATATTTTGGTTTCATATTTTAATTTTTTTTTATTTTTTTATTTTTTGCAAACATTTTATACTCAAGGGGGCTTTATTATTTAATTCGGAGCTTCTTCATTTAACAAAATTAAATGAGGAAAAGGAATGGAGGGATTTATTGGTAGAGAAGTTCATCTTCAAAACTTTGTGGTGTAACCCATGAGTGAAGATGGAGAGTTGGTATAACATCATTTAAACTTTTGAATCTGTATTATGTTTTCCTAACAAGTAACTAGAAATATGGATTTTTGGACTAATTTTTCTGCTTTACTTAATGATAGGTTATATTCAAGTATCTAGGCTATCTTTAAAATGCTGGCAAAGGATTATCATCAAGGAATTTGAATAATTCTGAGCGATGAATGGTTAGTAAAAAAATTCTGTTAATGCTGAAGGATGCTTTCAATGGGTCTGTTAATAACTTTAGCAATTACTTTAATAAAATTATTGAATTCTTTTATCTATGTAAATTTTTATCTCTTTAGACATATGAATAGGAAGAGTAGTATTTGTGTTCTTACTTTTAATTCATTAATAATCAGTTGTCTTTTGTCTTCACCTCATTAGACTTTTGCAATTTTATCTGGAGTTGAAAGTTTGGTTGTCATGGCAAGACTTCGAGAAAATGATGATGGTATGAAACATTTTACACAAAATGGTTTTGCTGTATATGTTCTCACTGATATATATGATTCATTTCACATCTGCAGCCATTAATGCTGGGGTAGCTGGATGTTGCAGTGGTCTTGCCATAAATTTTCCTGGTATCTTTTATAATTGACAATTACATGTTAAAATTTTTTTAAAAAATAGTCAAATTTATTAAAATTGTAGTATTGATGTTTTCAGTATATATATTTTTGTGATATGTTGTTATTTTTAATAAAAATTTATTATAAATAAGTTCTTATTATGCATTACCAGCATGCTGTAAAAAAATAGTTGGTAAATTATCAATATTTGGTTTAAAATTTTATTAACTTGTTGGCCACCTCACCAATTTGAATTAAGGATAAATGGCATACCTATTTTGACTAACCCGTCTCATGAACACATGAAATTTTGTCTTTGCATTGTTGTACATGTGAGTAAACACTGAGCAGAGACAATTTTGTCTCCAATTGGTGGGTTGGGAAAGATTACGAGGTGTACTACTGTATTGAATGAATAAGACAATAACTATTTATTTTCACAATATGTTTTACATAAATAAGAAAGGAAGAGAAGAGAAAAAAGTGTGGAAAAAAAAATAGTGATGTAATGGAGAGATTAAAAAAAAAAGTTATGAAAAGTGTTCTAAGATGTTGCCAAATTACTATGGACTAAAAAAGCAAATATACTACATTGACATACAATACAATTCAATCGTTATTAGGGTCTTGCAAAAATATTCTAAATACTGAATTATCAAAAATTACATTGAAATTACATTAAAATTCACAAGAGGAGTATAATATTACATTTTATAAAATAAATTTTACTTTTAATTCCATATCTAAGAATTTTTAGGCATCTTATTATTATTATTATGACTGATCTAGGTGCACCCGAAGCACTTATACAGAGCTGCCTCACTTTTGGGGCTCTTTCTTTGATCATGGAAGGGATAACCAAGCAACTAGCAGCACTTGCATGCCCCATTTCCAAGAAAACAAGTGTGCCATTGGTACTCTCCCTTCAACTCCCTCTTCCAAATGAGAAGAATTAAGTCATTTCCTTTTTCTACGAGTCATTGAAAAAACGCAAAAAGGGCATATTTCCTACATCTCACTGAGAACCAGGTGCCCTTTTTTCAAGTATGGTGTATAGCATATGCACCTTTCTTTTGTCTTTATTGGAGCTTTCTTTTGTAGCCTTTATGGACACTTCTTTTTTAGGCACATGCGATGACACATTTTGTAACAAAGACATGGCTTGTTTATATGCTGAGTGAGTTTCAAATATGCAATATCGATTGCACCATGTTATTTATTCGTGCATGCTTTGTTGGAATATAAACAAAACTGTGGTAAAAATGTGTTACTAACACTTCTCATTGAATAAATAATATGAAACATAATCCACTTTGAATTTAAATTAAAGACTTTTGGATTGAACATTTTACTGTTATTTAGTTCATAAATCATCAGTTTCCATAAATATCATGCCTAGCTCATTGCATGAGTGAGAGATTTCTAACCATCAAAATGCTCAGTATTTGATGCTCAAGCAAATGTAATGGTAACTTAGACTTAACAAAAACTAGCAAAACTGCATACTCCCTAATGGCCTTCCTATTCACACCATTTCTCAAAATGTTCTTTCAATCCTTGCGATTAATGACTTTGACGAATCGACTGATCATAAAAAATGGAGGTCAACGGGTAAATTGTTTCTCAATCGATCCAATCGAAGTTTTCAAAAGTAAATATGAAAAATGAAAACTTTTCGTTTTATGTTTTCGTTGCCTCTGTAACAAATGACTTCATCATTATTTAATACATATTTGTATAATTTTTAAAAAAAATAAAATTATTATTTATTTTAAAAATTTTATTTTTTGTTAAATTTTTCTCTCAAATCTCAGCAAGTATTTTTTTCCTTCAAATTTTTAAATTTTTTCTGTTTTGCCTACATCTTAAGTACTTATATTTTGATACTTTCTTATTTAAATTATTTATATATTTTTTTGTAGTTTGAAATACTTTCCTTGTAATTTAATTATATTTTAAAATTTTGCTTGAATTAAAAAATTGATATGAATTTGAATCCAGTCTTACATGATCAAGCCTAAGTAGAGAAGGCTTTGACTTTAAGTACAGGGATCATTAATAAGAGGAAAGCTCAAGACAAGACATATAGTAATTATAGTTTAAGAGTATGTATTTCGGACCCAAAGAATAAAATTCAAGGAGAGGAGACAAATAAGGTTCTGGTTCTACTTGTACAAGTCCAAAGAAATCAAAGTCCTGAACAGAATGAACCAAATATTAAAATTAAGAAAATATTATCCTTAACCTTTAGTAATTAATAATAGTATTTTTTTAATAAAAATAATTATGTAGTATATTTTTATAAATAAATAAAAAATTAATAAAAGTTTTATTTTTGAATGTTTAGATCAAGCTTTAAAGATTAAGGTTAACAAAATCTTAAAATTTAAAATATTTTATAATCTTCGTATTTATTTTTTTGAAAAAAAAAAACTCAATTGTCGTTTAACATTTTTATGTCAGAATTATCATTATTTGTAAGTCAGTAAATAACTATAATGAAAAATGGAGTCGTTATGTTGACATTACATATAATGGAAGGTTATAATTAGGGGAATCAAATCCTTGTAAGAGTTTACAGCCTTGAAATTTGAACCTTTTGTATTTGTTGTAACCTTCCTCAGGCTTTCTCTCAAAAATCATTTTTACCATAAATACAAATTAAATTACGTAATTTAGAACGTAAGTAATAAATATTTATTTAAAATTATTTTTTATTGTGTGAGAGATTACTGTTTTTTTTTTCTTTTACTCTTCTGAAACCTTGTCAATTCTCTTGCAATTGGTGATTCAAGTTGACAAAAGTTATTGTCAGTGTTCCATTAATCCAAGTACATTCTTTGTTGTATGGATTATTTAATTCATTGGTAATTGGACAATTAGCATATATATGTATTACATCTTCTATACCGTTGATTGGCTATTTGTATTTTTCAGGTTATTAATTTTTCTTTATCTTCCTTTTTATTTTTCTTTTCTTTTTTTATCAACTCAGGTCACGAAGATAGATTCATCCCCTTTAATTTCGTATAAAAAATACCAATACAATGCACCAAATACTAATACAATACTATCCATTGATTTGTTTTTCTAATCATCACTGTTTCCAAAAACAACATGCCTCAATGCAATTTGATTTATTAAATTAACTTTTACCCAAAAAAAAAATGAGTAATTGTAAGTTTCACATAGTTCATTATCAAGACTAAAAAAACTGGGATGGTAACTTAGACTTGACAAAAGCCCTCAAAATCACAACTTCCTCACCCACCTTCTTATCCACACTATCTCTCAAAATCTGAGCAAAGAACAGCCACCGCCCGGTGATTACGACAAATGCCACCACTAGCGGCCCCGACATGGCACGGGGCAGCCGCCATCCTCGGCGGAGCATTACCTTCTTCACCACCACCTCTGCCGCCGTGCACACACCATGAAGCACAAAATAGCACGTGACTTCCCACGTGGGAGGCGCCCGTGAAACATAATAATATATCAACTCATGCATTAGCCCAGATACAAGGAACGTGGTCAACATGGCAGCTGATTTGGCACATGTGGGACCCACAAATTGCGTAGAAATACGGCGTACTGGGTCGTATACGGTAGGGCGTAGAATATGCGTAACCGTCAGGTTCCATCTACGACCCCAGAAGTCTTGAAGAGAGGTGCAGAGGTAAGGTTTGTTGAACTGCGGTTCGATCTCACAGCCGAAAATGGTTCGAACTGCGACAGCACAGAGGGCAAATGTAATCTCTGCGCTAAGGTACACATGGCAGCAATAGAGAACTATGATGAATTGAGGGGGCAGTCTTTCTTTGTAGCTATAAACACACAAGATCAAGGTCAAGAGAAGCACTTTTAGGAGCATATGCCATTTGGGTTTTTCTACCTCTGGGGTGGTAGTTTTTTGGGTTGGTGGGTGTTGCTGTTTGAGTTCGATGGGAAGGGAAGCTATGGAGATGAAATGGGCTATGTTTGGGTGTGATAGGACAAGAGGGCCTTGGTTGAAGGAAAAAAGGAGGAGCTTGAAAGTGCCAAGCCAAACAAGTAAGAAGCATGTGATGCTACATGAGCTAGGTGAAGAGAGGTTCAAGGGAAGGATGAGAAAGATGTAGATAACAGGGATGATTGAGAGAAGTCTTAAGAAACCTTTTGGTATTTTAGAAGCTATGTAGTAACAATAACAGAGACATGTTATGGCTATAACCCACACCTTGATGAAGCTTCCAAATTCACCATCCATATTCTCCTCTCCCTTGAATGTAGCTAGGTCCCTTGAATGTAGGTAGGTCTTACAGTATGTGAATTTGAAATGTCAACCAAAACGATGATGAGATATATTATAGTGCAGTAGGTCTCCAAAGATGGAGTGCATAGGAGAGTTACATATTCATATTGAATATCATATTAATGTCATTTTAATTAGCGTTTGTATTTATCAAAGATAATAAAAGTTTTATATGTAATAATTTTTCATTAAAATTATAACATTTAATATATTAAAAATTATAATATTTAATAATATTTTATTTTATTAACATAAAAGTTAAAAGAATTTGAAATTATTTTTAAAACAAAGAGAGATGAGAAATGAAAAGAAGAAAAAAAAAAAAGGTTACAATAAACAGAGATAAAAAGAAATGTGTTATAAAAGTACTATATGAGAATTAAGTAACTGTCTATATAAAATTACATTTTTTTACAAAATATTTGAGATAAAAATTCTAAAGTAGAAAAAAGTTAATTCAAAAAGTACTTATAAAAATTATACATTTAATTTACTAAAAAAGAGAGTAAAATTTATAATCTAAATAATTGATGTTATAAATTTTTTAAAACATAACATATATATTCGGAAGTCAACGACAGTTTAATAATTTATGTTATTCCTAAAACCACAATGGCTGATATTTTCTTCTTAATTGTTTTTGCGTCCAGAGAGACGGAGAGGTTTCACATATGATTGAAATGTGGAGAGGGGGTAGGTATACTTTAATCAGACCAAAAAAAACTTACAGAGATAATTAGTTTGAAAATTTTATTTAGTTTACTTTTTAAGATTGAATTTAAATATTTAATAATATTATTAAATTTTTATTAATTAAAAAATTATTATACTTTTAGATTTTTAAAATAATAAATATTTTTAATAAAAATTTATTATATTTAGAAAAATAAAATAAACCCTAAATTCAGAAGTTAATATAACTGGCTCATTGAATAAAAATAAAAACTAAAACATAGTCTCTAAACGTGGTAGGTCAAGTCTATGAAATATTTTTTTTACACATATAAAGACTCACAAGTTTATTATTGAATATTTTTTACATATACAAAAATTTAAATTTAAAATTTTATTTGATTAATATTAAACTGTTTATCACTCAAATCAATCTTCATTTAAGTCATAGTCTTTGTTGGTATAATTTATTTGACATTAAACACCTACGGAGTTACTTAGTTTAAAAAAAAAATTGACCCTTAAATCGAAGATATTAAAAAAATATTTGGTAGTAATATAAAATTTTATACGCTTCTCCTTTTGTTTTATAATTTGAGTTGTTTTAATCTATTTTTAAAACATCCCATGATTCTTGTGATTTAGCTTTTTTTTTTTTTTCATTTGATATTAATTATGCATGTGGCTTTCCATACTTTAAGATATAAAGGAAATATTTAAATTCATTGGACAACTAGAGCAGATACAATCTGGCAGACCCATTATATTATTTAAAAAAAATCAGAGAATCGTTGACTTTTTTATCCTTGCTAACATTAAATACTTATTGTTTGATAATAAGAAGAATAAGAATATGATTATATTTTTATTTTCATACTTAGGTTGGTTAGGTTTTTTAGTTTTTATTGATTTATATTTTTTATTATTATTTAAATTAAATCTCTCACTCCAAATTTTATGTAATAATTAATAAAAATATAACAAATATGTAATACATCATTGATTTATATAAATTTGTAAAAGAGTAAATTAAATAATTAAACAAAAAGAGTTTATTATATTTATGTTTTACTTTAAATTTTAATTTAAATATTTTATAATTTTATGTTGATTTATACAGATTAGTAATATGTCATAATTTTTATATTTTTCTTAATAATTGGTTAAATTTTTGGAGCAAGAAAGTTGATTTAAATAATTTAAAATTAATAAAAATATGAGTAATTAAAATTTAAAAGAAAACTAAAAGCACGTTTAAGTTAAATTATGTGAATTACAATTACAATTAGGTCTAATTTAAATATTTAAATTTTCCTGGACAAAATTTATACTAACAAAAATAAACATAACAAAAAAATCCTTAAACTTTAAGAGAATGGTGTAGTATAAATAGGTATGGTAAGTCAAAAGTTTGAACCCCACTTGTCTTCTTGTAATGAAGTAAATGTAAATGATTCATAAGCATTGTTTAAGTCTAATAGCAGCCTACTCAGAAGACCTTTCCTCGTATTAAAAATTTTAGAAAAAAAATAATATATAAATTTCTTTCGAAGATATTATGAATTTTTTTATTGATAGATGTATGATATTAAAATCTGATATATTGATAATATATAGTCAGTTTTATATTAATAAAACTGTTCATCAAGATGATGATTTGTCATTTCGATGTAAATTGAACTGTCAAAGTTTTTTTAGTCAGAATCTTCGCATTGAACATGTGGCATGTGACCTTTCACAACCTATATGCATATCTCTTTTTAAAAGGAGAATGATATTTACATATATTTTTTATTGCTCTATTCGTAAATTATATCCTTTTTAGGTAATTTAAAAAAAAATTGTTGCTCTACTTTTTTTTCTAATAAATAAGTAGATGTAAGAAAAACAAAAAAGTTGTGCAAAAATTGTTTGCTTTTGCAAAAAAATATTTTTAATTTTTTATATTTACATTATGTCACGTATCTTTAAAACTCAATGTTTTTTTTTTACTCTTGATATTCGATTTTCTCAGTATAAATAGCTTTCTATGCGCATAATATAACGGGTGTAGCTAGTTAGTGAGGAGCACTGAGTAGAATGTTACAAATTTTCAGTTCAGTAAGTTTTAACTAATGAGTAAATGCATTAATTGATTGTAATAAAAAGAAGTGTTTTAAATTTTTTTAGTATTGTTCTCATTTATTATTAATGTTCTTTAAATATTAAGTCATGTAATTATTAATAATATTTAACTTAAAATAATAAAAAAAAATAAGTAATGAAATCAAATCACATAATAAGACTTTCGGTTTTCTAACTATCTAAATGTAACTCAGTTCAATTTTAATATATTGTGTTACTTTAATTACTAAAAATCACTGTTATTTAATGATCATAAAATAATGAAAGTCTTATTTTTTAAATGTTATCCTAATCATAAATAATAACAAGTAAATAAGAACATTAAGATCCATTATACTTATTAAATTTAATTAATTGATTGAAATCTTAGATGATAGATTAATCTTCGCATCCTTAAATTTAAATTATTTTTTAGTTTTATTAATTTATCAATAATATAATTATCTATTAATAGATTAATTAAGATTAACCCTTTAATAGCTGAATAAAAAATTACAATAACAATAAAGGAATAATTTTAATAAACAATTAGCATTAATATCATAAAATTACACAAGAATTCAAAAGAGTACATAATTATAACACTAAAGCAAAGGAAATTAAATAAAAAGTATCCATAATCTTAATTTAAAAAAAAAAAAATCAAAACTCACATGGGTGATTACTTTGGAAAGAAGCCACTTTGTCATAGAGAACATTGCCTCTTAGAGATCTTGGGGAGGTGATCTTAATGGAAGAGGAAAAGTATGTAAATGTGAATGGTGAAAGAGTTTTTGGTGGAAAGCTTAAAATTTAATTAAGTGTAAAGAAGACTAAGGAAAAATTGGAGTCACTCAATCTAAAATATCAATTAAAAAAGATAAAATACAAATTCAAAAATTTTATAATTCAAATTCTAATTTCAAAATTCAAATCCAAATTTAAAATCTAATTTCAAAATTCTTTATTTTTTTTTCCCTTCTTTCAACAATTTTTTTTTATGATTAGACCAATTTTAACCTTGCATTATCACTACTTCTTACAATAAAACAAAAAAAAATCCTTAATCAGTTTAAAGAATAAAATAATAATTTTAAAAAATAAATAAACTAAATTCTTGCATAAAGTGAGAAATTTTATTATTTCCACTGTTTCATGCCTTTACAATTTATGGGAGGTTGGTTTGGCTTTTTTTCCTTTTACTTTTTAAATTATCATTATTTTATTTTATTTGTAATTTTATATTTCAAATGTACAATTTATAATCATAAAAATATTACTTATATTTACCCAAATGTTGTTAAACAAAAATATTTAAAATATACAGTTCTTTTAAAGTTTTAGTTTGATTACCCGAATGAGTTTAGTTGTATTTTCTCTTTCAAAAACTTAATTCCAAAAATTTGGGGGAGTAGGCTAGCATGAGTTGAGAGATAATGGGTTACTTTTGCAATTTTAGATAACTCAAATCCTACACTTTACTGAGGCTGCTGCAATGCTCGCTGACGAGTAATAATGATCAACAAGATCAAGACCTTCATACCTGCTTTCACATGAAAGATTTGAGAAAACTCAAGTATTTTTTTAGAAGTGGAAGTTGCTGGATCTCCTGTAAGACTTTTTCTTAGTCAATGAAAATATGCTTTGCACATTATTATGGAAACTAGGTTACTTAGATCACGACTATCCTCTACTCCTTTAGAAGAAAATCCTCATCTAGCTCTAGCAAAAGGACCACTACTCTCTGATCCTGGTCAATATCGTTATCTTGTTGGGGGCCTCATTTACTTGTGCTTCACTCACCTATAACTATCATTTAGTGTACATGTCTTATCCTAATTTATGCAACAACCATGAGAAGAACATTAGCAGTTGCCCTACGCATTGTTCGCTATCTCAAGAGGAAACTTAGCCAAGGGATTCTCTTAGTTTACATAGTTGGTGTGACTTTGATTGGGCAAGTTCTTCTCTTACTCGAAGATCTATCACTGGTTAGTTCATTCTCCTTGACAATTCGCTAGTATCTTGGAAGACGAATAAATAACATATGATGTATCGATACCCTGTCAAAGTTCCATGACCAACACTACTTGTAAACTACAATGGTTGAAAGAACTCCTTTTGGATTGAACATTTTACTGTTAATTAGTTTATAAATCATCAGTTTCCATAAATATCATGCCTAGCTCATTGCATGAGTGAGAGATTTCTAACCATCAAAATGCTCAGTATTTGATGCTCAAGCAAATGTAATGGTAACTTAGACTTAACAAAAACTAGCAAAACTGCATACTCCCTAATGGCCTTCCTATTCACACCATTTCTCAAAATGTTCTTTCAATCCTTGCGATTAATGACTTTGACGAATCGACTGATCATAAAAATGGAGGTCAACGGGTAAATTGTTTCTCAATCGATCACAAATATTTCTCTTCGTAAAATGCAGAATCCACCCCACTTCCTTGGATAAAAGAAGTATAATTATAATTAAGCAAACACATGAATTGGATAAATAACATGCAAACATATTATAAAAAAAAAAAAACTTATGAATTGCACATATTCACTAGAACACGCTCGTTGTTTTCCAAGAACAACATGCCTCGTTATAATTTAAACTATTGGAACAAATTACCCAAAAAAAAAAAACTGAATAATTGCAGGCTATATAATGTTCACTTTGAAGAGTCCAACAAAGATAATGGTAACGTAGACTTAACAAAATGGATCAAAATTGCATATTCTCCAATGGCTTTCCTATCCACACCATTCCTCAACAGCTGAGGAAAAAACAGCCACATCCCGGTGACCGCCACGAACGCCATCACAAGGGGCCCTGACACAGCTCGGTGAAGCTGCCACCCACGGTGGAGCATTACCCGCTTCACCGCCACCTCGGCCACCGTGCATACACCATGAAGCACAAAAAAACACATTACTTCCCACGTGGGAGGCACACGTGTAATGTAATAATACATCAACTCATGCATGAGCCCGGATACAAGGAACGCGGTCAACACGGCAGCTGATGTGGCACATAAGGGACCCACAAAACGTGTAGACATACGGCGTATGGGACTGTATACAGTGGGGTGTAGAATACGGGTAACTGCAAGGTTCCATCTACGGCCCCAGAAGTCTTGAAGGGAGGTGGAAAGGTATGGTTCGTTAAATTGCGGTTCAATCTCAAAGCCGAAAACGGTTCGAACCGGGGAAGCAATAAGGACTAACACTAGTTCAGTGCCAAGGTACATGTGGCAGCAATAGAGGACTATGATGAAAAGCGGGTGCAGATTTTCTTTGTAGTCATGAACACGTACGATCATGGCCAAAATAAGCACTTTTAGAAGCAAAAGCCATTTTGGTTTCTCTAAGTTTGTGGTGGTAGCTTTTTGGGTTGGTGGGTCTTCTTGTTTGAGGTTGATGGGAAGGGAAGCTATGGAGATGAAATGGACAATGTTTGGTTGTGATAAAACAAGAGGGCCCTGGTTGAAGGAAAAAAGGAGGAGCTTGAAAGTGCCAAGCCAAACAAGGAAGAAGGATGTGAGGCCACATAGGTGAGATGACGAGAGTTTCAAGGGAAGAATGAAGAAGAGGTAGAGAACAGGGAGGATGGAGAGAAGCCTTAATAAGCCTTTTGGTATTTTAGAAGCTATGTAATAACAATAACATAGACATGTTATTACTGTAATCCATACCTTGATGAAGCTTTCAATCTCACCATCCATCTCCTCTCCCTTGAATCTAGCTAGCCAGGTCATGAGTTTGTGAAATGTCAATGAAAATGATGAGTAATATTATAGATTGGCAGGTCTAAGAAAGTGGAGTGTATAAGGGGACATGTTTCTAATAATCAATTAGTGTTGAATGTTAGATTAGTGTTATTTTAATTGACTTATTTAACGTGTCTAAACACATATAATAGAATTTTATATACAATAAGTGTTTATTAAAAGTTATAAAATTTAATTATTAATAATATTTAGTAAAATTTAATATTTGTTAATTTTTTATTGTGTGTCCCATATAAATTTTAGTTAGCTAATACCTGCAACATATTATATAATAGAGTTTTGTTATGTTTTTCTATATTTTTTCTAATATTTCTTCTATTATTATATAAAGATAAAAATTAAATTTAAAATGAAAAGAAATTTCAAAAGATTAATTAATTGTTAAAATAATATTATTCTATTGAATAGGCTTAAGGTTAGAATAAAGTTATATACAAGTAATTAATGTTATAAAATTTCAAAAAGATAGCATATTATTCTTAAAAGCACATGGCTGATATTTCTTTTTTAATTGTTTATACCTCCGAACAGAGAGGTTTGTCCTATGATTAAGCTAGAGAGAGTAGAGTGGGTATATTTTACATTTCTTTTCCTTTCATAATCAAATGATTAAGGGGAAGAAATGATACTCCGTCAAAGGAAGAAAAACTACATGATCCAGACTTATCAATAATTTAAACGAAGAAATTATATTAAAAAAATATTAACCTCGCTAAGATAAGTTGAAGGATATGTTTAAGAGAAGGTATAGTGTAATTATTGATTTGGTTCATAATAAAGTTATTTACCTTTTGAAAATTAATATAATATAATTTCAATCTAAACTTTTGAAGATCCTATGATGAGTCTTAGTCCTCATCAATTCTTGTTAATAGATAAAAATTCAGTCTCATAATTAGATGGTACAGTATTTTGTACTTTCGCTTAAGTAAATAACTTTTTTTAAAGTAAAAATGTAAAATTTTATTTAACTAGCTAAACAAAACTAAATCTAAATCTCTTATTTTCGAAACCATGTCACATGTGATGTTTCACAACCCTCGTGTCGTGTGCATATTATTTATATAAAAGTAGATGGCATTTACAACTCATTATTTGAATTATTTTAGATAATAAATTTAAAAAAATATTTTTCTATTTTTTCCCTATATATTGAAAAATAGTATATAAAATTCTATAAAAAAATATTTATGTCAGCAAAATGTAGAATCTACCCCACTTCCTGATATAAAAGTTGTAATTTTAGCAAACTCATGAATTGGATAAATAACACCCAAACATACAACATTCCACATTGTAATTTGTACTATTAAAATAAATTCCACAAAAAAAAATCTGAAAAATTGATTAATTGTAAGTTTTACAATGATCACTATGAAGAGTGAAACAAAGGTAATGGTAACTTAGACTTGACAAAATCTACCAAAATTGCATATTCTCTAATGGCCTTCCTATCCACACCATTTCTCAACAGCTGAGGAAAAAACAGCCACATCCCGGTGACAGCCAGGAACGCCATCACCAGCGGCGCCGACACGGCACGGTGAAGCCGCCACCCGCGGCGGAGCATCACCCTCTTCACCGCCACCTCCACCACCGTGCACACACCGTGAAGCACAAAAAAGTACGTGACTTCCCACGTGGGAGGCACACGTGCGAGGTAATAATATATTAACTCGTGCATGAGTCCAGACACAAGGAACGCGGCCAACACGGCAACTGACGTGGCATGGGAGGGACCCACAAAGCGCGTAGACATACGGCGTACGGGATCGTATACGGTGGGGCGTAGAATACGTGTAACCGTAAGGTTCCATCTACGGCCCCAGAAGTCTTGAAGGGAGGTGCAAAGGTATGGTTCGTTAAATTGCGGTTCAATCTCAAAACCGAAAAAGGTTCGAACCGGGGCAGCACTGAGGGCTAAGACAAGTTCTGCACCAAGGTACATGTGGCAGCAGTAGAGGATTGTGATGAAATGAGGGTGCAAGTTTTCTCTATAGTCATAAGCACGTACGATCATGGCCAAGAGAAGCACTTTTAGGAGCACAAGCCATTTGGGTCTTTCTACTTGTGGGGTGGTAGTTTTTTCAGTTTGTGGGTTTTGTTGTTTAAGGTTGATGGGAAGGGAAGCTATGGAAATGAAGTGGACAATGTTTGGGTGTGATAAGACAAGAGGGCCTTGGTTGAAGGATAAAAGGAGGAGCTTGAAAGTGCCAAGCCAAACAAGGAAGAAGGTGGTGGGGCCACCTAGGTGGAAAGAAGAGAGGTTCAATGGAAGGATAAGAAAGAGAGAGAGAATGGGAAGGATTGATAGAAGTCTCAAGAATCCTTTGGGTATTCTATAAGCTATGTAATAACAATAACATAGAGATGAGATGGTTGTGATCCATACCTTGATGAACCTCTCAATTTCACCATCCATGTCCTCCTTCCTCTATCTTTCTCCCTTGAATCTATGTAAACTATGCCAAATGTTAAACTAAAATAATGGTGTATAATGTGGAGATTTTGAGGGTCTAAAACATGAGGACAGAAAAGGGATTGCGTTTTTTTTGAAAAAATCACTTTCTTTTAGACAAGTGATATTAATTAATCTGCAACTTTCGACCGTTAGATGGTAGGGTGGGTAGAGGACGGTTGGGTTTTAATAATGAATAAAAAAAAGACAATTCAAACAATAAATACATTAAATTATTCACGTGTGTACATTCAAGATGTGCTTATTTAATTCTATTTCAGATTTCAAATCTTAATCTTAAATATCAAAAAAGTTGTTAAAAATTAATTTTGTATATTATAAATACTTTTAATTTGAATAAAATAAACGCTTGAGAGCATATATGTAGTCTACATAAAACATAATAAATAAAATTGAACAGAATAATTCATGATATGTAATTCTACAATGATATAACTAATTTTCTTATATCTAAATATTAATAGATATAGAATAAAAACCTGTGTTCAAATGTATAAACAACAGTTTGATAATTAAATAATAATAAAATATTGTTTGTAAATTACTGATATGTTAATTTAGGATAAATTAGAGCATCAATCAAATATGGTAAATTTTAGTAAAAAATCACCCAATATTTAAAAATAATCAATAATGAGTATTCTAGATGTTTTTAGTCTAAATTGAGAGAAACTATTGATTTGAAACCACATGATCCGGTCACTCACATTTTGTAATGTGCAAAATCTGAAAAAAAATAAAAATGCATTTTTATCATCTTTCTTATTAGTACAGAACATGGTAATCCGAAGAACACCAAAAACAAAATTTCCTAAGTTGGACATTGAGTATATGAGTAGCAGATTCTACGTATCTGCGAGTAGGTAGAAACATTTTAATGATTTTTATTTTATTAGATTTGGGTTAGGCCTCAATTAGGTGTCCCCCTCAAAGATAAATTACACATTTTATGTAGAGCCAGCAAAATTAATCGATCTAGCCCATTTAAGGCCACTGAATTATAACCTTCCAACTGTTATTATTTTTTGTCAAACTTCTCGAGTTGACAAATCCACACTTTTTCCCACGAGTTTACTTGACTCGACAAATCCCCGATATCAGATGCAAGTCAAGTAGCCCACATCATCAACTCTAATTCTACGAAATATTTAAATTATATTGCCCTCTATTGACCAAAAAAAAAAGTTTATATTAACCTCTCAAAACATGTTACAATTTATTATTATTATTATAAGCTATTATTATGGTAAAACTAATAACAAACATTTATTATTGTTAGCAATTTCCATGTAAATTAATTTCACTGGTTCTATTACACTTGCATATTCCAGCCAAGGCAGAGAATAACAATCTAATTGTACACCATATGTATCAACTACAAGCTCCGACATATACAGATGACTATTCAATTACACTGACCATAAGGAAATAATAAAGCCGCCACCAAAAGAGCTGAGTGCTCTTTGGAAGGAAAGAGATGCAAAATTAGCATGACAAACCTAAGATGTCAGCAGGACGTTAGAGGATGACAATAAAAAAAATCTCCATGTTATAGCATATTCCATCTTAATATCGTCTATGTACAGCACATAGCATCTTTATGCAGAAGTGAAGGAGGAAACCTGAAAAAGTGGACATTCAAGTTACTGATTGAACCGATCTGCTGAACTCTGGCGTGAATACACATTGTGAAAACCAGCTGCAAAACCTGGCATCCAACTTCCATATCCAGGTTGGGGCACACTACGTTCGAAAGTGTCATTTGTACCAGGTATAGGAGGTTCAGATCCCAATGGATCCATCCTGACATGGTTTAATTCATCCAGGCGAGGTGCATATCGTTGCATAGCTGGTGTATCCATCAGGTAAGAAGACTGATACGATGAACCACCTACTGCATAACTTGATCCATTATGTCTATAAGTAGGATCATGACCAGATAGATAATTGCTCCTCATAGAATCAGGATTCTGAAGCCCATAATGACGAATATGTTGCCTTATTTCTGATTCCCTCATGTATTTCTCATCCTCCCTGACATGGAGTCTATACCCAAGGTTATTGGTGCTGTTTCCCTGAAGGTTGCTATGGTGTTCCTCTATATCCGTAACCCCAGAACTGAAATGGGGACTGGCAACGCCTGGCCAATTTTGGGACCCACTATAGGCTGCTCCAAACTCCATGTGCGAGGAAGTGGGCTCCAAATGCCTATAATCTTTATCACCAATCTCAGTATACGGAGGTGTCATGTCAAATTTGAGCTTAAAACCTTCAACAGAGGATCTCCCCTCAATTGGATTAGATTGACTATGGTAAGGTACTCCCTCAAGCATTTGATTTACAGACTGCCTTTTGGGTGGTGAGGTCACACCAAGTCCTCGACCATCATTTTCCACAACTCCTTTCCTCTTCCATGAGGTCTTATCAGCCTTGCTTGCCCTAGATTCCCATCTCTCTTGACTCTCTCGATCAACATTTCTGTGGGTCAAGCATCCCATCTGCCTTTCATTCATAGGTGCCTGATTTTCATCATCAGTTGACTTCAAGATATCATGACTCAGCATATCATCATCATAATTATCATCCTTAGTATGCCTGACAGGTGATTTTTCTTTATCAAAGCTATCCATTTTTGACACCCCATGACAGCTGATCAGGTGACCATGCTCCCGGGCTATGGCCTTATGTTTATCAGTCCAGTCAGGACGACTCCATAGATAGAGTGGGGGTGGCCTTACATTCCATTGTTCCATTTGCCTGTCGTTAGAATCAACTGATCCAGGTAGATAAAATGACTGAAAGCAGAACAGGACAGCAACAGAAAAAATACATACAGCAGTCAGAACACCAGAGCATGTATCAATCAAAACATAAGTTACCACAATATACTCTTCATATTTACCTTGCCTGATAGAAACTTTTCATCCTCCCAGACAAGATCATAAGCCGACCGTTTTTCATCTAGCCTATATAGAAAGGAAACTAACATGAAAAGGCTGAAAACAAAATGTAAACTGTCTACTCCAAACAAGGAAGCAAGTCAAGCAACAACTCCGGGTAGTCTTGGCAGGCTTGTGTGAAGGAAAAGTTTATTTACCTCTCTTATCCTTGATAAAAAGAACAAGAAAAAGTACACTACCTCTCTGTCTCTGGTGGTACTATGAGAATCAAGAGCTTTGGTCTGAACTCGAGAGCTTTATCTATAAACTTATTAGCCAAAATTGCTTTAACTCCAAAGGGGGGATTGAGGCCCATTATCTGTTTCCAAAAGCAGACAAGAAAATAATGAAAAGAAATATGTGAATTGACCATGTGGATATACATGCCCGCCTCAATCATGAAATGACTAATTCTTACCAACTGCGACCCTGTAGGCAACTCTTTTTGTTGGACAGTCATCCAATCTCTCATCTCAAAATTAAAATCATTCTGCAATCAAAACAAAAAAAATCCCTGGTAAACAGATAAAGAAAAATAATATGAGATAATAAACCGTAATCATAGACTAAACCCTTAAGTCATTAATGATATTCTGTATGTCTTCATTCATCAAAATCAGCTGAAAACATCATATAAAAGTAATTATGCTCATGACACTAGCACTCATGAGAACCATGTAATTCATCTTAATCCCACACTTCACAACAATGTCCAGTGAGTTATTTTATAAAGCCTTGTTAATCAGTACTAGAAACCAATTAGGCCCCCAAACTATTGAAAAGCACAAAAGCTTTCAAACTTCCAATGAGACGGCACCTAAATAAACTTCTATTTAGTCTTCAAAAGCAGAACACCAAATAGCTTTGAAATATTCCCGAAGAATATGTTAGCAAGTTATTAATTACTATATTGCATACCCAATATACATGCCAGGCATTTAGCTTCAATTATATGCATTTCTCAGTTAAAATGATTGGAAAAATCTGACAAAATGCAAAGAATGAATATGGACAAGGAATTTTCACAAAAAAAGGGGGCATATTCTTGAATGTGATACTCCAAAGACGCATCTCAACATGTTATGTTGCTGAGCAAATTAGGTTAGTATATCAAATTTTATCCTGAGCAATGACTAATTGACTAATTTTACATGCAACAGGCCAGTGTTATCAAATGGTGGTTATGGCAGCGCCATGGCAGCCATTATGCGCCTGGCAGCCATTGCAGAAAACATGGATTTTCAAGGAATAAAATGAAATGGGCCTCTGACCCGTCCTTGTCCAGAGTGACCCACGAACACCAAAACCCTAAAAATGTCTTTATTCTCCTTTGTCTCCCTCTCGCAAGCCATGGCTTCTGTCTTCTTGAGTTCGAATGTCTTCTCTTTTTTGTCCTCAATGTCTCTTTTCTCGCTCTCAGCATCTCTCAATCTCTTCTCCTTCCTCAACATCAGTGACCACCACAACTTTGTCTCCAACAATTGGTGCCACTGCCATCTCTGGCAACTGCCATTGTCACTGCTCTGGCAAGTCTACTTTTCCGGCAAGTGAACTTTTTTTTTTTCTTTATTATTTCCCTCCTCCATTTCATTTCGTCTTTTTTTCCTCTCTCTCTTCTCCTTCACTTGGTTTTCAGTTCCCTTTTTATTAGTTTTTCCATCGCTTATTCTAATTTTTTTTCCATTCTGTTTCTCCCTCTCCCATTAAGTTTCACTCCCCCATTTTTTTCGTTTTTCCTTATTATTCTGTTTTCACTTCCAAGTTTCCTTCTCCATTTTTATTTTTATTCTCTATTTTTCTGTTATAATTTTGAGCTCCTTTTTTCTCTATTTTACAACCATTTTATTTTATTTTCTTTCATATGTAGTTAGTTTTTTATTTATATATATATATATATAATAAATATATATATTATGACCACCATGGCATCCGCCATAATTTTATGGCAGTTTTTTTTGCTGTCTGCCATCTGCCATTGATAACATTGCAACAGGCCATTCCTCATCCAAAAGTTGATGAGAATATGATCATTATCAATGTAGATAGAAGAAAAAATTGCAAAAACAAAAATATTATGCATACAGCAATGTGAAACCAAAAGCATACATCAATACAGACACCTAAGCACTACAGTTATATTTTACAAAATCTGTTATTCAAAGATTACGAGTATTCTGATACAAAGGGGCAACAGAAAAAAATGCAGAGAAAACAATATTGATAAACTGAAATATTACAACCGGATGCATGTTGAAAACCTCTGTTAACATGTCAAAGATGTTAGCAAAAATATTTGTAACAGAAATATTTAGAAAAAAGTCCCTATAGTTTTTCTTGGTCTCAATATTTAAATGTAAATAAATCTGTTAGTTCAAAATCAACAATCACATGTCATAGTGGCAATGAGCAAAAATTGCATTGTAAGAACTAAAGTAATAATAACTTGTAAGGTGTATTCACCTTTGTTGGAAGTAAATCATAGTTTTTGTACGAGCACCTCTTCCCAGTCTGTTCAAGCTTTTTCTTCATTAGAATGCTAAAATCATTAGCACCACAACAGAAGTCCACAATCTGACCACAAAGTAACGATCCTCAGTCAGGTAATCAACATTAAAAGTTAAAGTAGAATAAAATAGTTAAGAATGGTGAACCACCACCAAACAGTAAGAATATATGATATCACAATTTGAGAAGGAAAATCTGATCTTTTGTTTTACATAAATGACAGATATAAAATTCAGGCACACTTATCAGTTATCACAGCTGTAGTTGTCAAAAAAAGAAAAGAAAATGAAAATAATTTCAAGTATAAAGTTGGAAGATAAGCAAGAAATTGGCACAGATTAAAAGAAAAGATTTCCTAGATATAAATAAATGTCTAATCATGCAAAGGAAGAATGGTCAAAAACCTGCATCCTAAAGCTACCTCTGATGATTATTCAGCAAAAAAAAAAATTTAATAATGAAATGCCATTAGGACCATGAAAACTAAAACATCCGGATGTTAGATATGTTCTATAGTTTGAGAAAATATTAATAACAATTTCAGGTATGCACAAGCATTTGGGGGACTATTTTCAAGCTGCCTCTGGTCAACATAAAATAGTACAACTAATGACAAAAAATTATGTTAATAAACACAACAAATTAAATAATTATAGATCAATATCAGTACTTACTGTATCACCATTCTGAACATACCAATGGAGTTTATCAACAATCTGCAAATGTAAAAGCCATTAATTAAGCAATGATTGGTGGATGTAATTATGGTGGGATGCAATTCAGAGCTTACATAAATATTAAAAAACTTAAAAATCCTTACAGAAGATAGCTTAGTCATACAAGCCGTTTTAAACTAATCTTCAATCACTATAATTTGAGCATATAACAATATCCTGACATCACCCTGTTGAGGTGTGATAATATTTTTCATAAGCTCTTTCTATACTGTGAAAATTTTATAGAGGTCATTGTAAAGCTAAATAAACAGCTATAGGTAAAACGTAAGTTCATGCATAAAGTCAAAATCATTCTTGAGTTTTTAACCGAGCTTTAGTGTTTCCTTCAAGGGCACAAAACATGTCTAAAGGTGGATTCCTACCAACCCCAAACTATAATATTCCATCTAAACTTCAAACCCAATACATCCCAGACAAGCATATCAGAATTATAAAGACATTTTTTGGCACTTGATAGACCAAGTAGACTGGTAAGCGAAGTTGTTATTCAACAATTGATTTGATGTGGTATTGACTATTTGCTATACGTACACATGATATTGCCATCATTCAAGCCATTAAACCCAACTAAGAATGACTGACAGCTAATAGTCGTGGTTTACCTAAAATTGAAAAATACCATTATAGATGCTTCTTTGTTGAGCTGCTGAGCACATTTAAGCCACCATCTTCGCAGTTCCCACATAATCAAAGTCAAGAGTATCATAATTGCTGTTAATCTGTTTCCCTTTAATCACAGCATCAGCTCAACTATTTCTAGTTTATTCTATTCATGACATCTGCCTAACCTAGAAATCTATCCTACTACATTAATACTCTTTTCAATGGAAAAGGAGGATATTAAAGCTAGTTTTTGTCTTCCCAACACAGCAATACACAAGGATATAAAAAATACAATAAAGGATAGAAAATGTCAATCAGCATAGGAATCTTACAAAATAACTGAAATAATAACACAAAGTTGAGTAAGAATAAATACCCCTTCCAGCTTTTCAAATTGTGTAAAATGGCGACCATATGATGTGTAGCGATTACCATACAGAACAGGTGCAAGATAAACTTTCAGCTTGTCCTACAGAAGAATAACTTAATATAGGCATAGCTGTGATAAATGAACTGAACCATTTCTACTAGTTAAAATTGCAGTAATGCACTATTGTCTATTATAAATAAAGAAAAAAAAATAGTAAATAATTAATTAGATATGTGACAAGACATGACATAGAGTGCTCTTAGGTAACCATGAAAGAAAATAAAGCTGTAAAACATACTAGAGAGGACTGAACATTTAGAGACTTAGATCCAAAATCCCAAAAATTTTTTGTTCAAGAATAGCAGAGTACCTTCCACTTATATATCTGGTTTAGAACATCTGGGCCACAAACAGCTTCTGCATCTCGTATATTGTGCCCATCATCTAGCATCCTTAGAGCTGTTCGAACAGCCTGTTACAAAAGGCAGAATAGATAAAGCTTAAAACATACTCCACAATATAAGCAAAAACAAGATAGAGTAATAAATATCACAAGACAGAATAGATAAGCTTAAAACAAACTCCACAATATAAAATTCCAAAAGTAATAAAGATAGTACCTCAACTGAACCTTCCAACTTTCCCACTGTAATGGTTTTCTCCACAATACTTTTCAACGAATGAGTATGAGTAGAAGCAAACTTATGGTCTTTTATAACTTTCTCCAAAGTAATTGATGAGGTAGCTTCTTTAAACAAAGCCAACAATCTACATTAGAAGAAAGCATCTTAACAATATCATCATGAATAACCATAAAATCAGCTTCTGAGTCAGACAATATAAAGAGAACACAAAAAATAAAAACTTAAATATTTTTGGAAGATTTTGATTTTAGTCCCTCAAATTTTTCTTCTGGTTTTAGAGCCTGTTTTTTTCTAAATTCAGCACCTTTGGTCCTCTCATTGATGTGGAGCAAAAAAAAATCGACATGAGGCTCAAAAAATGACATGGAAACATCTTAGCTAACCACTTCATCACTAAAGGACTGAAAGTGTTAAATTTTGAAAAATAGGCATTTAATTTTTTTAGGAATTAAAATTAAAATCTCACAAAAGTATAAGGTTCAAAAGTATATTTAAGCCAAAAAAGAAGAAAAATAATCAGTTCAGAAGTCAGAAAAGAAAAAAGATTTACCTCCTCTCTGAATCTGCATCTAATGGGGTTGATGCACTACTTAGCTTTTTAGTAGGCTTAACAGACAGGGTATTACCAGAATTAATTTTCTCAGAACCCTTCTGCCAGAAAGCAAATAATTGCTCACCCAATGAGGCCTGATTTTCCTCACCATCAGATATTTCAGTATCCTTTGAGATTGACCTTTTATTTTCATTCAAACTCCTTCTTGATGCTTCCTTTGTTTTTCTCCTTGGGATATTTAATCCAGAAATGTTTGCAGACTTTTTGTCACCAACTTTCCCAGATGACATTTTACCAGACAGTTTAGAAACCTTAACAGTAGTTTTTTTGCCAAATAAATTTTCTGAGTCAACGATGTTTTTGTTCGATATAACTCTCTTTTCAATTGCAGGCTTTGCCTTCTCCTCAGTTTTAATTTCTCGAACAGTAGCCTTAGCATTGGGAAACTTTAGATGATCTCTCATAGGAGTCCCAAGTTCATCATCAATCTCATGTTTTCTGATTCAAGGAAAGGAAAAGGCATTACCCACGGAGTTTGCAATAAAATAATTGAACAAAACATTGATACATTATAAGACTTACAAACAATATATAAGAATGCGATTGTTTGGTAGAAGTTTTTCCCAAGCCCTTGTTATAATGCCTTCATCCTCTATATCTTCAAAAGAGATCTTTCTAATACAAGCAACTTTAGAATCAAGCCTCCATACACGATCAATTACAATCACTAAATGAATACTAGAAACACAAAAGGCAAAAAAAAAATGCAATAACCTTGGCAAACATTTGCGATGATAAGACTTGGGGCAACGCCTACAAACAGCAAATTGTAACTCATGTTCCTTCTTGTCTTCCATTTCTTTACAGACATAGCAATAATGAGTAGGACAAGTAAAAGGTTCCCCCCCAGCAATATTTCTCTCAAGATCCTTCGGAGCATCCTCAACTACCCTGTGAAGTAACTTTGCAACACAATGTGGATGATAAAACAGGCCACAGGTTGCAGAAGCACATTTGAAGACCTGAAGGAGAAAATCCAAACAACTTTTAGTCCATACCAAATAAAACAACTAATTAGGTGGTAGACATGGCAAGCTAGGATGATTCTATTATGATTTTCTGATGCTTGGGAGTTAGATACAGGAACGAAAAAATGAGTAGTTTCTGAGGGCGGAGAAGGGTTAGTCAACTTTAGCCTTTTCTGGTAGTAAGGCTTCAAGCTTGTAGAGTTCATACTACAGGGTAGAGAATTATAGCCATTCTGGTGCAATTCTACTACGCTTTGTTGATAAATAAAAACTACACATACTCTGGTTTCCACTAAATCCCAAGAGATATAGGAAACTAGTTGTCAAACTAAACTAGCTATGACATTTTCAAAGTTCAAATACCTCTTTCCTAGTAAGAGCAATGAGTCACTTCAGGTCATCTTAGGATTCTCATTGGGATGCAATGTTACACAGCCTGAGATACTTGAAGGGAGCCTCAAAACAAGCAATTATTAATAAAAATGGTGGAAAGCTGTCCAAATGTAGACTGGGTTGGTTATCCCATAGATTGGAAATCAACATTTAGCAATTGCATGCTCCTAGGAAATAGTTTTATTTCTTCAAAGAGAAACAAAACATAGAAGCAAGGTCAACTGCAGAGCCTCAATATTGAGCAATGGCCCAAAATTCTTCTGAATTGCTATGTGCCTATTACTTACTTGATGAGCTTAGATTCAAAGTTTCTCTACCAATGAAGTTGTGGGGTGACAAGCAAGCTGCCATTCACATTGTCTCAAACATGGTATTTCAAGAAAGGACAGAGCACATAGAAAATGACTCCCACTTCCTTCAAGAGAAGATTTAGAAGGACCTTATATCTATACTTATTCTATAGGACCATAGTTGTTAATCATGGCTAGCAGCTGGCTCCTAAAACGCTATAGCAAAATAGCTTAAGCGAGAAGACCGCTATTTTATAATATGCATATATAATCGTGTAAAACATTACAACATGACTGTTATATTATACAAAAATGCTTTCATATGATAAATCACTGAACACACAGACACCGGAAAATCTGATTTTTCCGGTGAACAGAAAAACAAAGATGCCAGAAAAACTAAGTTCTCCGGTGAAAAAAAAAAACAGAGGATACGCCTGAGAGGAGACGCCAGAAAAGCTTGTTCGCGGGTGAAATGGAGCAGGTGAGCCTTCGGACAAGCTGATTTCTCTGGCAAATTGGACTGAGTGCACCGCTGAGAATGGGAGAAACTGCTACGCAGAGGCTCGCATAGAGAGGAGAGCGTGGGGAAGATGGGCTTTTTTTCCCCCAAATGACCTTTCTACCCTTAACAAATAATCTAAACGGTGCGTTTTATAAAAAAATAGAATAGAGTTTCTTTCTTTCCCCCAAATCACGTGATTGCACACGATTGTCTCCCTATTTTGGCTGCGAACGCCCACACCTGCCGCGACGTGCCAAATAGCTCCGCTATTAACAAGTATGTATAGGACAATGCCAGAACTAGAGAATGATAATTGGCATACTCACAAGTCACAATGACACTTCATTAGAATTGGGTCAATTAATCTATGTAACAAGTTGAGCATGCTTAAAGCTTTTCAGGCATAACGATATTTATTTCTTTGGCACTTACTTTATTTAAATATATACATGACCTTCACCCACATTGGGTACAATTTTCTAACTTCTCTCTTATCTTACATCATTATTCATTAATAGATCAACTAATCAGTCAAAATCAACTGTTAATCTATGCTAAAAAAGCCATGACCCATCAATGACAACAGTTCCCAGTACAACCAATGCATGAGTACAAAAGATCAGCATTCAAAGATTAAAATGCAAAGCAATTGTCAATATTGAAAGGTGAGTTTGAACAAGGGGAAGGGTTAGGATTGTCAGAAAATTTGTGTGCATACAACTGAAAGAGATCAGCTGCAATCATTAAAGAATTCTAGGCATATAATTGACACCAAACCCACCCCCGACTATAAGATATGTAAATGCAGTACACAGAAAATAACCAAATCAAATTTCTTATTCAAAATAATTTGAATGATAATACAGGAACACGTCTTTCTTTCAAATGAAATCTAGCATGGGCCAAGTAAACAGGATGACGATTAGGCCAGCCTAGGGATATCGGTTCTGGCCCACAATCACATCTACTTCCCTTCAAAGCTAAAATCTTTTGATATCTTTGATGGTCATTTCAACTAGGCAACAACTGAGGCAATGAACTGTGCATGACCCAATCAACAACTCAACCAAGACCATAAACGTTTGACATAATGAATTATACAAACACATCTATGCCAGTAGGCTTTTTTATGCTCGCAGTAACCAAAAAGCACCACAAACATCACCAAAATCTTACATAAAAGTTGAAGCAGAGTGAAATATGCAAAAAGCTATTTCTCCTCAAAATAGAACTGATAAACAACCAACAATTGGGTGACACTTCATACAACTAGGAAAAAATATATCAATGAAATAAACAACAAGAGGAGGCAATTTTGTTTCACATAGTCATACCTCAGCCTTCGAAAATTTATCAGAACATCCTAGTGTGCCACATGCAAAGCACTGATGCTGATTAAATTCACAATTCTTACAATAAAAGTTCTGGATCTCCTGTAAAATTTGCCAAAGAAATCAAAATTCAGCCTAAGTATACAATGAAAAGGAAAATGAAAAAATAGAAGTAAAATAAATATAAAGAGGAGATAAAATTAACATACATCAACTTCCTTCTTCTTAAAACCAAGAGAGGCACAAGAAGAATCCTCACCATCTTCTTTACTAGCATGAAATGACCTCATGCACTTTCCATCACAACTGCATTTATCATTTAATAAAAAATTACAAAAGAAAAAAAATCAACTGCTATTCTAAAATAAAGAGGCAAGTAAAAACAAGTACAATAATCTTGAAAAATTTATGTACAACACACAGCACAGAGAAACCACACTAAATTTAATGAACAAACAAAACGAAAATCATACCACAAAAGATTACCACCATTATCACAAATTGTGCAAACAGAATCAAATAAGTCATCCTCTTCATCTAAATCTTCAACAGTTTCATCAATCATATCATTGTCCATATCATCAATTATAAATCCAGGTCGTGCTAAATCTTTAACTTCCTGAAATCAAAGAATACATTTTAAAAAAAATACAAGCAAAACATGTGACATGAATAAAGAAGTAAAAGAAGAAAATATATCAGAGAAAAATTATCTTCAAGGAAGGAAAACCAAATATCTCACGAACCTCATCAGAAAGTTTATTAATCTTCAGCTTATCCTTATCATCCAGAACCATGAGCAGAAGCTGTTTAAATAAAAAACTAGTCACTGAAGTGAGGCACACATGTTGAGAAGCAAACAAGAAAAGAAATGAAATAGATTTTATTAGAAAAGAAGAAATTAAATGTTTAATTAAAAGAAATCAACATTTTAATTTTGTTTATAGCAAAAGGGCAAGTCAAAGGATAACTATATCCACTTTTTAATTTTTGTTTTGACCTCTAATATCTTTCACAGAATACCAATTAATTATTAGTTTAGTTAGTCACAATTTGTAGTTAGTCAATTTGCTACATTACATGTATAAATAGAATAGAAGAAAGGAAAGGAGATCATATAGTTTAAGAAGGACCAAAAATATCAACTTATAATTTCCTAGTTCACAACCACAACATATTTAATCAAGTAAATACAAACCTTTGACTTCGCTAAGACAGCATCCCTTTTGGCAGCTTCACCCATTAAAGCCATATGGTTCAATAAATCTTTTTGAGAAGGCATAATCTCATAAGAGCTGCAAACAATATATTCAAAAACAAATCATGATATTTACTTCCAAAACCATTCGTAGAGAAAGAATTCCAGAACTCCCAAATTACCTAAACTCCTTATTCTTACTCAAGTTATCCCACGCAGATTTGGCAGTTGCGTCAGGATTCTTCTTCACATAATTCAGGAAGTGAATGGTGATTAAAATAGTCCTTATGGTATCCTCATAGCTTTTCCTAGGCTTCTCAAGTTTAATCCATTTCCCATCCTTCGATAGCACTGATATCTCAGGCCTCACATAAGAAAGATCAAACCTCCATGCAACGACTTGCATAAAGATTTTCTGCAGCCCATTGTCCGCAGAACCGTGCAGAAACACCTGCTCTTTCTTCCCAACCGGATACTCAGACTCACTCCATTGAATTGGCAACACAGAAAACGATACAGGCGCGTCTTTGTCATCTTCAAAATGGTAATTTGAAACAGATAGTAGCTGAGCCTCACCCTCATCATCTGAAGATGCCATGTCCCTTCTTTTCACCCACAAATATTAACAACTCAATACCTAAACACCAAAAATACAAAAAACATATGTACGTATAAATAAATCAATGAGTAACACTTAGAACTAATTTATCTAAAGAGTAACCAATAGTCCATGCTTCAATTTGAATTTCTAGTTTTAAATATGCAACCGTATAATCCACAAGTGGTAATCATTAACAAACAGAGACAAGAAACTTGAGGAAAATCAAAGTTAACGCTTCTGAAAATTGAATTAAAGGGGAAGCGTGAAAAGAATAAAAAAAACCCTAACCTGCGTGCATCTTGTGAGGTTTTAAAATAACAAAAAATTTAAAAGATGAAGAAACACAATGTAGCATGAGAGTGATGAATCGGCGTACCTTGTACGACAAAGAACGCAGCGTTGCGAGGGTTCTGGCTATAGTGTTTCAGGTTCCTACTGCTAATAGCAGAGAATTGATGAAACGAAAAGATGGGTGCGTACGAATGTTAATGAGGGCGCGCACTACTGGAACTTCCCTCTTGTACGGAGATATTTTCAGTGCTCATATATTTTTTCTGATTTAATTTTTTTAAAGTAAAAACAAAGAAAAAATTATCAAACAATTTGAAAGGGTAACATTAATTTTAATTTATTTTAAATTTTTAGAAAAACCATAGAATAAGAAAATATACATGATAAATTTTATTAAAAATGGTAACATTAATTATTTTTAACTATTAAATTTTATAAATTTTAATAAAAATTATCATAAATTTTCCACATACAATTTTAAATAATTTTAAAATCATCTATAAAATTTGAAAAAAAAGTTACTAAATAAGAAAAAATAAGTCCAAAAAAGTATGTATCAGAGGATTGCCGAAATTTACTCCATTTGCACCCCTAAATACAATGCCTAAATTCTTTCGGAATATTTTTCGACCATGATTTTAGTTTGGAAACAATAAAAGAATAATATATATATATATATATATATATATAATGTTTGAGAAAATGAATAAATAGTAATAGGTTAAAAATTTTCATTAAATCGACACTTGTTTGGGATTTTTTTATTTCAAAATTAATTTTTCAAATTTTTTACATTAAATTAACATTACATTTTTATCTCTTTTGTTTGAATTTGATACAGTGGACACTCATAACCTATGTTCCCTATGTGTTGCGTATGGTAACTATGTTAAGAATATTTTACATAGACTTCTGTCGAAATTTTTTATTGATATTTATACCAAAGACGTGTTTTATTCATTGAAACACAATTTTATAGCACAAAATAATAAGATTAATGAAGTTTATCAAACTAATAATCTTGATCCCAAAGTCAAGAGTTTCCCACTCTATTATGATACAATTTTGCCAAATCTCAATTTGGACAAGTTATAAATTTGTCACGGATTTAACTATTTTTGCAGCTCAAACTCTGTGTAACTATCAAACAAAGACAGATTACTAATGATAAAATTATATTAAAAGAATAAGTGATACATTATTTAAAACTTCATAGAGAAAAAAAAAAAACGCTACATAAAATTTAAAAAATATCAACTATAAGTATTCATGTTATTTGTGAACTGAGAAATTATATTAAAAAAAAGGCTAAATAATTTATAATTATTATAAATTTTTATTTGTTTTAATAAATTGTTACTATATTTATTAGAGTAAACATTTTTCAATTTATTTTAATAAATTTCATGACTAGTTTCATGCTATAAACTTTCCTATAAAAATAAGTTCTTGAATAAATAATTAACTAGATTGTTTATTTAAAGAAACTTTTATCTTTAATAGATAAATTCAATAACTCTTTTATAATAAACTTTTTTGAGATTTTTTTTCATTTTATTTCAAATGTTTTTTTTCGTATTATAGAACACTTTTTGTACACATTAACAAAATAGAAAAGTAAAGTTGTAAAGCAGATACAAATTTTTTTAATTAAATATATTAATAACAACAATAAATAATATTTATTTTATTAGATGGTTTAAGATACATGAATTATATTAGGCATTTGGCAAAGGTACTAAACTTTTAATTTAATAATATTAATTTAGTAATAAAAAACAGAGACATAGTATTCACAAATGAATTAATTGATATTTAATATTTTAACACTATTATTTTTATAAGCCCGTTATATATATATATATATATATATATATATATATATATATATAATTTTTTATGACTAAGATTATGAGTTACTACTATAAATATCAATCTCTCACATATTTATAGAAATTTCTTACCTTAAGTATTGTACTTGTTACAACAAATGAGAGTTTAGAATAAAAATAAAAAGGTTGAAAGGTAAAAAAGAGAGCGAAATGGAAGAAAAATGAGGTTATTATAAAAAATTTAAATCTAAGAAACTTAATAACGGATCATTGTGAATGTTTTGAAATAAACTTTGATTTTTTTGGAGATGAGAAGGGTTAAGAATTTGTATATTTAAAATTATGTATATCTATCAATAATATTTATTAATTTGATAAATATATAAATTAATCAAAATACTGAGAATGATTAATAAACAAAAAATTTTATTATAGTTAAAAAACATCTAACTATACTAATATTTTTTAATAGACATAACAGGATAAAAGACAAACTAAATATGTTTAGATGTATTTTTTTCATCTGATTAAAAAATAAAAAATATAATTAATAAAATTTTGAATCAATATATAATAATTATTTATATTATTATAAAAAAAATTACGAATTCATTCGTACAATAAAATTAATTTTCTAAAATTTTATGTAACAATATAAATTTTACATCTTAAATATAATAAATATTTTATTTTTATTTAAAAATTATAAAAATTAAGATATTATATAAAAAAATAAGCTTAATTAACGGTTTAGTCCTTATAATAACTACATAAATATCTAACTAAGATATTGAAATTTAAATTGTGTGTAATAGTAGAAACTAAACCCTAAACCTTATAATTTAAGCATAAATTTATAATTAGAAATATGTAATAAAATGTTTTTATAATTTTAAAATAATAAATATTTTTTAACTTTGGTGTCATTAAATACACATTAAATAATAATAATAAATTGTGCATTAAGTAATAAATATTTTATGGAGAAGAGGACGTGGCAACTTACAACCGAACCTGCTACTAAATTCTGTCATTTTCTGCTCCAATTCAAAACGAAGACTCAAGAGAGAGAAGAAGAGAGAGAAAGACAGACACTATGTCGTAGAGAGAGAGAGAGAAACAAAAAACAACAACCTCATCGCCAGATAGAAAGAGAGAGAGAAAAGAGAGTCCGTTAATTTCAGTTTAAAAGAAAAAGCACAAAAACAATGGTGACAGAGGAAGAAATATCGGAAGCGGTTCAGTCGCTGTTGAAAGAATCGAACCCTAGAAGCCGAAGCTTCACGACGTTGAACCAAGTGGTTCAAGAGCTTCAAGCCAAGCTCGGTCACGACCTCACTCACAAGCTCGATTTCATCACCTCACAGATCAACCTCCTCTTTGGATCCCAACAACCACCGCCGCAAAATCCCCAGAGTCAGTTACCGCAACCGCAACAACCGCCCAAAGACCATTTTGCCCTTCAACAAAACCCTAATTTTCACTCTTCCCCTGCTGTTACTACCGGTTTTCAGACATTCACTTCTAACCCTGTTGCTGCTGATGCTGCACGCGCTGAAGCTCACCATCCTCCTCCTCCTGCTGCTGCTGCTGCTGCTGAGGGCAACGAGATTCCCAAGGAAAGGTAAAATGGAAGTGCTTTGTTTTGTTGTTTAGTGTGAAATGTTTCGAAGAGAGAGAAGGGAAGAAAATCAGGGTTTGTGGAAATGAAATTGGAGTAATTAGTGCTAGTTAAACGATGAGCTTTGATCGTAATTTGTTTAATTTGAGAATATTTATTTATTTATTTTATTTTTACTAATAATTACAAAAGTATCACTTGTGCGTGAAACTAAGAGTTTTGTTTTGTTTTTCACTGTTTTTGGTTTTAAAACAGTGAAAATAAAGTGACATTTTTGTAATTATTTGTAAAAATAAAAAAATGAAAATATAAAATGTTTTCTTAAACCAAATTTGTCTTTGGCAGAAGATTTGGGTCTGTTTAAATTAGCGCTCGGACGCCCAGAATCGATTTTGGATACGATAATCAACGGCCATTTTATTTTTCGAAAACCGAAGTACGATGAACGGAATCAAGAAATTCTTACTTTCAGCAAATCGATTTCGGTTGTAACACAAACAGGCAATAGGTTTTGGCAACTGATGCATATCTCAGCAGCATAGTTGTTACTCAAGATCACTGTGTTTGTATGGTGTAATAAGTGATAATAAGTTTGCATGTGTTTGAATTCAAACTTGTTTGTTTTGATCTTTAAATGGAATATTATATGATCTCTGTCTTGTTAAATTTTCTGTGTTTGTTTGCGTAAGGAATGGAATCAATTTTCTAAAATTGAAAAAGAATCTTTACCATTCAATGTGCCTTGGGTTTTGTGAAAAACATATCTTGAGCGTTTATTTTGAAGTTTGAACACGCGATCGATGTTGGGAACCCAAAATGTAGGATTTGATTTGATGTTTGGTAATGATAACTGGTAAGTAATGCTATTCTTCTTGTGTCTTGTAGTACTCAAACTAAGGTGAAGAGAAGAGGTGGCCCAGGAGGTCTCAACAAACTTTGTGGTGTTTCACCTGAACTTCAGGTCATTGTTGGCCAGCCAGCATTGCCGCGGACTGAGGTTTGTATCAATATTTTTAAAGTTTGTTGTTCATTTTACATATTTTGATATGGTTTCCAGCGAGATTTCTAATACGGGGAATAAATGTGGTTTAGATTGTGAAACAACTGTGGGCTTACATAAGGAAAAACAATCTCCAAGATCCCAGCAACAAAAGGAAAATAATTTGCAATGATGAGCTGCGTGTGGTGTTTGAGACAGACTGTACTGATATGTTCAAGATGAATAAGTTGCTAGCAAAGCACATAATCCCCCTTGAACCAACCAGTAGGTATTTGGGGTTAAGGTTAGATTTTTATAAATTAAGGTTTAATGCATTGTTTGAATTCTTCATGTTTTCTGCATTTTCAGAGCAGTCTGTGGCAAAGAAGCAAAAAGTAGATGTGGAATCAGGAACAAAAACTGCTGAACCTACTCCCTCTGTAATAATATCTGATGCACTTGCTAACTTCTTTGGGGTTACTGGAAGGGAGATGCTACAATCTGAGGTACTGAGACGTATTTGGGAGTACATAAAAGTCAACCAGCTAGAGGTAAGTAACAGAGACCTTAAATTTGTACTAACTTCATGTACAGCGGCATTGATGCATTATAGTTTAATATCATGATAATATTCATAGTTTTGCTAACTGATGCAGGTTTTTGAACTACTAAACACTTAAAGTTCCATGCTCTTCCTTCTTTCATCTCTACATCACATTAATATCTTTGTCTTTTAAGTATACGAGCTTTTGTTTCACTGTTGTTTTTTTTTCCGCATTTTTTTACTTTAATTACTAGTAATTTGTTACATTTTATGTTGTGATTATTTTCTGTTTTACCTAGCTTCATTGAATCTAGTATTAAGCTTGAAGTTTTAGTCTTTGTACCAGTCCAATTGTTTGTAATTCTCTAATATTAGGTGCATTAGTAAGTTACTGTGTTTTTATTTTGTTTTGATCACAAGCCCATAGGTTCTCGAGCTTCTACCCAGTGGACAATTGAAGGCAAATATGGTTATAAGTTATAACAGGAAGGAGATAAAAAATAGATTGATTTCCATACTAATTAGTTTGGGAGAAAAGTTCAATGATATGACGTTGTTTATGATATGTATGATGAACTTTGTCTGGACATAACTTGTTGACTTACAACCCTTCAATATATTGCTAGGATCCTGTGAATCCTATGGCAATACTGTGCGATGCAAAGCTTCAGGAGATCTTTGGCTGTGAAAGCATTTCGGCAATGGGGATACCTGAAGTTTTGGGCCGTAACCATATTTTTAGAAGTTCATGATGCTGACAACATTCTATGGTTAGTAGAATTGACATGTAAAACAATTTTGTTTTCCAAAACCTTCATATCATAATGCTCTTCCCTTTCTTGTTCTCGTTTAAGTTGCATTGGACCTACCTTATGTGAAGCTTCCAAAGATATTTAACTGTTTTGTAAGTTGCATCGTGTGATGTCTCCAAATGTTATCTGCTTTGCATGGTGTTGAATCTGTGTCTTCCATGTTTTGTTTTTATTCCAGGATAATATTATTGCATGGAATGGATTTGCTTGTAGCTTGTATTTATAATGGCATAAACTGATGATACTCTTTTATTATGATAATTGAGAAATTATAAACTGAAAATTAATATGATAATAGTTAAGCTTGTTTTATAGATACTTTTAATTTTATTGGTTTCCTTTGTAATCATAAGAGATATGAAAAAAAACATTTTTTTCCATTATATAAGACCAGACATTTGTTCTGTTGATCCTTTTCATGTTCGAAACTATTTTTTTTCCTGTCAGACTAACTAGTGCACTAGTTAAGGAGCATTCAATACACCTTATTAAATGCTTTTAATTGCTTTATTAATTAAATGTTAAATGTCTTTTTTTATTTCTAATATAATGTTTCTTTCATCGTAACTTTTCACTTTTCTTTCCTTAATCAAGGCATTGGTTAACCCTTGGCTTTTTTATGAATATTCTGATCCTGTTAATCTGAGACTATCATGAACGAGGTACAGATTGACTGAATAAATAGAGTAAAACGATTCCTAGAGTTTATGAATATGCTGCCGTTTATATTTAATTATGTATGCATTACTGTTGCAAATTTCCGAAAACAATAACTTGTCCGAGTTTGGATTTGATAGTTTTGTTTTTCCACTTTGACGGATTTCTTTTTGCCTTTTCAAATGATATTTTTGCATTGAACTTGATGAAATACTACCTTTTTGCTGCAGTGACAGATTGCATGGTGTTAATTCCATTATAGTTGGAGCTGATCTTGACCACATGTTCATATGGTTCTGTAATTTGACTGATCAGATTTGCGTTCTTAGTTCATGTTGACAAGTTAGCAGAATGAATATGTAATAGGGACATCTATTAGTTTGGGAATGACGATGTATTTCTAGGTCCTGCGGTTGCTGTTTGTCTGACTTGGCACTTAGGTTAGAATGACCTGTGGGTATTCTGACACCTGTAAAATGCTCACAATAGGAAAGAAAAGGATGTAAAAGGTATCTTTCTTCAAACATGATCCATGTCATTTATATGTAAGTTAATGAAATGCAGCTTGCCAGATGTATATGTAAGATTTTGGAGAAACTTCGATAACGTGGCAATGTTCTTCAGTAAAACACGTTATTTTTTTCATACCTCAACTGAGAACTTCAAAAAGGAGAACGAAGTGCTTAAAAGCTAAAACGTAATACATGCAGATTTTTTTCTTTGAGAATGACATTACTAACGCGTAGGGAACTTTATCTAAGGATTAGATTTCGAACTGTACTACTTACTATTCAACCGGAAGGTTTGAATTGATTGCACTTGTTTTATGAGTGTACATTAGTTTAATTTGATAAACATGAACAATTAATTAAGTTGATTTGGTTTAATTTATATGTTTTGGTTTAAATCAAACCAATTAAATGAAATGTAATTATCTTTGATTCGGGCATCAGTTCCATGATTTTAAACATGATGACATGTCATGGAATCAATTAACATGATTTTATTTTACTACTTTTTGGCTTATATGCTGCTTATGTCTCTATCTTCAGTTTTGTTAGAAATGTTCTTTTATGATAGATTTATAGATTGTGTGAATATTTTGAGGATTCAAGGACGAATTATTCAGTGAACACGATGCTGGGAGATCAAAAGCTGCGAATTGTATGTCTTGTTCGACAATTCTTTGAAAATTTTATCGCATAATTGAAATTATTTAACTGCTTTGACCAACACAGGTTCAGGACAGAAGCCTTGGTAATAACACAACGTGTGATTCTGTTTATTTTTGGTCATTGCGGAATGAAGGGGATTGAATATTAAGTAAGAGAGGGGACCTAGAAATTTGCCAGAGAAAGAATACAAATCTTATCCATAGCTCTTGTCACTGACATACAATGTGTGATTCGGTCACGGTGGTTTTTTGATTGGGTTGTTGGACCAACGCATGAAGATAGGCCATACTTCTTTTACGGGTTGTCCGGCAAAAAATGCGTCGATTAATTGTGTGTGGTCACCATATTTTATTGAGCTCTTCTGAGTTACTTTTCATCTTTTTTTTTGGTCAGTAGTTGCTTCTGCCTTTTGTCTATCACAGAAAAAAAGAAGGCATTTTAAAGAAAATAGTGCAACGAAATTCAGCCATGCTTTTTATGTCATGGTTTAGGCTTATTTGGTTGTCTTGAAAGTCACCTCCTTGGCCACAATCACCCCGTTTGAAAATTTTTACTCACTTGTTATTAGAGCAATGTTTATTTTGATTGAGTAGAACAAGCATACTTGTAATTTAGTGTTTATGGAAAAGTACATTGTAGTATTGATCTTCTTGCTCTTATTGGATTTGAACTGTCCCTGAACCACCTTCTTAGGCTCATAATTTATTCTCTTTTGACCCAAAAACACCAGCCCCGTTGGGGCCTTTCCTTCCTTTTTATGGGGTTTTTGTTTCCTTCCCTTTTTGTGGGTTTCTTTCTTAGCCATTTCATCCTCATCTTCTCATCAACATCTTCTTAGTTCTGCTGTGTAGCATTGTCAGATCCGAGGCATCTTCTTTGTAAGATAATCAACTAGAGAGACAAAAGATAAAATGTCTTTGAATAAAAAAAAAAAAGAAATACAACAAAAAAAACTATCATTTATTAACCAATCAATAAAAAATGTGAGGCGATAGGATTTTCTTCTTTGCTATAGCTGTTATCTATTAAAAAATATTTATTAGTATACATATTATATGTTTATGCCAATACCATAGTATATTATATTAATATTTGATGCATTAATAATATATCAAATTTGTATACTAATGAAAATACCCGTATGATGGATAATGTTAGTATAGACACCGATGAAGCTTATTTTAACAATTTAGGGCATATTTCTATCTTCGTTCTCATAATTAAATTATATTAATTAATGGCTGAAAATGTATTTAACATATATTATAGTGCAAATTGAATAGTAGTAAATAATTTTAATTTTCGGCAAAATCGATTTTTCATGGTTGACAAACAAACATTTAATTTAGATTAAATAGTGTGTTAACCGAGGTTAATTCCATGTCAAACCATTAGTGTATGAAGTCTATTTTGTAATAAAAGTAGTATATATAGACTCAGCTATAAGTTATAGCCCTTGAAAGAGTTTTACTTAACCATTACTCTCAATTAGATAGTTAATCTAAGGTGAACATAGTGAAATATATATATATATGAATGAATTTGATAATTTAACAACTAAACATTATTGCATAACTGTGTACTTGATTTCAATTTATTATTGACAATTTTAATAAATCCTAAGATCATTGAGAAATATCAAACACAATTTGTCTCTGGTGTAGTTTAATTCACGTAACCAAGCATGACACCAACTTTTGTAAAACATTTTAATAATAAAAACATTTCATTTCAAAGGATTAGATTTGATGTTTTCAAAACAAAGTACAGAGGATCCACCTCACCCCAAAACAAATTGTATGATTAGAATCAATTTAGCTTTAATTTAATTTATAAATATTTCATAAGTATTATATCCACACCCATTTTATATTTTCTTATTCATTTTGTTACATCACATAACTCATTATATTTATGATTTCTCTTTTTTGAACTCTTTTCTCCTAAGAGGTATGACACTGCATTTTCCTTAGAAATTGAAGGAGTGGACAGCAACACAACTTTGTACAATTGTTTTTCTTTGGTCTATTACAGTACTTTGGTATGCATGGACTGCTTCTACGTGCTCCACACTATTTTGGAAACGTCATGTTCTTGATATTAATATAAATCAAGTAATATTAACAATTATTAAAACAAGCATATTTTTATATTTTTATTCTTTAATTAATATCTTAAAAATATTTTTCTTTTAAAAAATGTTGCCTAAAATAAAAAAAAAAGAAGTCAATGTCCCACTTCAAATATAAAAGTTCATTTTCTTAAAGTTCCTGGTCAGCATGAGTTGTCTTCCTTCTTATTATCTGTGTTTTGTATAAGTATCAATTGTCATTTTTTATACATCTATTATCTCTCTTACCTAACTTGATTTTATCTAAATTATCGTTCTTGTTGTTTATTAATCAAATTGATAACAAAGATGTTTTGAAAAAATCACCTACATAAAAATGATGTTAATAAATATATAGAAATGGCAATCATTTTTCTCGTGTTTCTTATAATAACATTTGATTCTTAAAAAAATAAAAATAAAAATATATTCAACATTGATTTTAAATTAATTATCTATATAAAATTCTTAAATTTAAATTAATATTAAATAAAATTTCATATTTTTACTTTATACATCTTTTAATTCCAAGAGAAACTAATCTTTATAGTGGGTGGTGATGCATTAATAGTTCCTACCAAGCAACGAGAACTTTGTTAATGCCTTGGAGATATTAATATATTACCAAAGGCTTTATCATCAATATGGATATATTTTTAAAAATTTATTAAATTAGTGTACTTTTTTAAAAATTACTATTTTTTATACAAATAATTTATAACGATCTATTTTGGGCTCTAGACCACCACAAATTATTAATGTAAAAAAATTAAAAAAATACACTATACAAGTTTAAGTTATATCATGTATATTGTTTTAAAAGGGAATTAATTATCTCATATTTATAAAAAAAAGATGCCCATTTTCAAATGAATTGTAAATGAATATAGATAAACTTACATGAAAATTATCATAAAATTTGCTAATGATTATTATTTTTAAATTTCTGATAAAGTTAGAAATTGAAATAAGTGACATTCAATTTTAAAAATAAAAATTTATATCTGTCTGGGTGGGTGAAGGTAGCTAATCATAAATATGTTCAGTGTCACATAACACATAACCTATAATCACCCATGAGTACATTTTTCTAGGGGCATGGATTTTCCCTGTTAGACTCTAACATGAAAGAGTAAAATTAACTCATCTAACTCATTCAGACTTTAATACATAATTTTATATTTTTATTTATAAGAAAAGTTATATATTTTTAATGATTATAATTTTATACAGTAAAAATGTTACTGTAGAAGATCTTCACCCCTTTTCATTTTGGTTCTATGAAGTGAGTGATGCATCAGTTATCAATTGTTTGGACCACTCAGTAGATTCTTTCTTATGGCACTGTGATTGAGTTGTTAATTAATTATACTAGTGTGTATATATATATATATATATATATATATATATGTATATGTATATACATATATATATATATATGTATATATATATATATATATATATATATATATGTATATATATACTCTTTTCATTTTTTATATTTAAATTTTATAGAAGAAATTAGAAAATATTTGATATTTCAAATTTTGTAAAACAATATTTAATTTGTTATTATATTTTTACTTATTATATTAATTAATATTTTACTTATTTATTATGTTTTATAAAAAACAACTTAATTATTAATATTATTAAAATTTAATTATCTATTACTTTTATAAGACAAAGTTAAAAAACAAATAAAATAAAAGTAATAAAATATTAAAAATGGAAAAAAATAATGAACTATGAGTGTGTATAAAACAAGGTTACATTTTCTTGTATTTAAAGTGTAAGTTTCGTCATGTAAGGTTAAAAAAGACTATAACATTAGTAAAAATTTATCTTGAAACTATATACACATCACCTACGTACTAATAAGTTGTCTTATGATTAAACTCAAATCTTCACTATGTGAAAATTGAAGGCATACCAATTTAAAAGAAAGTAACATGACATTTGTGAATAGTTATGATTTTTAAATAATCGATCATTCATTTTTATTGAATGATTAATAATTATAAATAATGTTTTATAGTGTTTGAAATTTCTTAAAATAATATTTTTTTTAGAAGGCTTTTCAGGCCATCAAAATTTATTTAATTTATATTAAATTAATTTAAGTTCAAATTATATTAAGATATTCAAATAAATTATATTTATTACTAAATAATAGTTTATTTCAGAAAATTTTAATAATAAAACAAATAAATTTTTGTTTGCTTATCCACAAGGATTTTTGTCACGTATTCTAATATATAAGCATTCGACCTATTTTTCGTATAAAAAAATCCCTTATTTTTTTTATAAATTTTTTAAAAAGTTTAAAATAAATAATAATTTCCCCTAAAATTAAACTATTTCAATTCCATTCTCAGCTAAGCGTTACCTTTTACCGTTCATGCATTAGTACT